CAACTTGTTTGTAATAATAAGGTTTAATTTGCTTTCCAAAACTTTAAAATAAATAGTTAAGTTTTTAAAATGTCAATATTTTCTCGAACCTCATTCTCTTTGCAATGTAATAATAAGAAATTTTAATATTAGCACATCTTACATAGACACAAATGTTTGACAGCTAACATCAAATTGATTTATTTATGTTTTGTTTACAAAAAGACTCGTTTCGCAAACATTTCCAGACAATCATAAACATTGATTTTTGACTACAATTTAAATTTTACGAGATGAAAAAACGCACAATATAATTTGATAGCAAGGACTCAAAGTACCAAATTTTTTGTGCTCATTGGTTGCAATTTTATTGTTATGTTTGTATTGCTTTTGTGTACTAAAATGATATTACGACCATTGTTTTTAATTATAATGAAGCTGCGGATGAGGTTATAATGCTGCTGCTAGAGGTTAAAGGGTCATCTTTCCAATCTTGGAAACCTCATTAAATATATAACACAATATATTATAATTAGTAACATATGACATTATTCCAGCATAACAGTAATTAAATATATACATATATAATATATAAAACTGTGTAAATATTTGTCCCATTATATGCAATAAAAACTTTATTGCATATAACTATGGCAACAAACTAATTAAAATAAATGACTACACTGTAAATATCAAGAAACACACAGAAAAGCAGAGTCATTAAGTATTATAAACTTTGTATTTTAAACGTTTAACAATTACTTTTAAAAACCATAAATGTATGAAAAAATCCCCCTTTGCACTCAAGAACACAACAATAATCTTCTATAGGACTGTCTTAATTATATAGAGTACTGGGTGTAAATATTAGCCTGACGCCTCTAAAAGTACTGGCTGGCGTCCTACCAGAGTCCAGCGCTCAGGTAGCCTATAACCCTTGGCAACTTGCCCTACTCTTATGCTTGTCGAAGAACAAAGATATTTAGCATATACATTCAATAGATATGACATTATGACCCAAATCGTAAAAAAATGTTAAAAAAAACTCTACTATTGGTAGAGCTTAGAGTAATTGTACTGTTAGGAAGAAAATCCGATCTGTGCCGGTGTACTGGCACAACACTAGCCTTACTCAAATGTCGACGTTTCCGTCTCCTCACTATTCATTCTGACACTTCAATAGGTAATGAAAGCGCGCCATTCGCGCCAAAGGATTCTAACTAAAGTACTTACAAATTCCCGTAATTTCCGCTCTATAACGTTCTATAGTATGAAATTTGTATCGCTTTGCTGAAGTTTTACTTACTGCATGCATGGTGACACAATTGATAGAGTAAAAGGAGAGATGGTATAGGGCGAGTGCGGTGGCACGATGTACGTTGGGGTCTCGTGACGTCATATAGTTGACTAAGGGTGTGATAGCACCGCGCTTCCCGAACTCCTGCCGGTTCTGTGCCCAGTCACAGCAGTACGCGATCGCCACGCCCAGGTTAGCGCGCAGATGGTCATCGGTGGTACTTACTGAAAAATAATCGATCGAGTCAAAGAAAGACAATTAAACTAGTGGAAATAGAGTCTAAGAGTAATCATAGTAAAAGTCAAGCGGCCAGTGTCGCCTGTCTACTCGTGCTAATCGAAAGTAAAGCAACTAGCTGGTAATACTTTGATTTGAATTTTTTTGCATAGTTTATTTTTAAATTTAGTAGCAACATGACAAACTTTAGCAACAGTCATCGACCACAAGTACCTAGAAGGTTAACAAAGATTGTGTAACGGTTAAATCAAATAAACTTTGAAGTCATGGCCAAAGCAAGAGATGTCCGCTCATTGAAATGCAAGTTCCGTTAAACACACAATGCGATAAAAGAATCGACAAAAACGATGATAGTGTGCGTTATTATGCTGTCTTTTGAATACTAGTAAACATTGGACTTATGTTTAAAACTTTCACGTTATCGCAATTAATTGTTATCAACGTTTATGCAACATTTACGATAAAATTGTTTTTAAATTAGACTTCGTAAATTACAATTATTGACAATGGTTACATAATGATGTAAACATTTACTGGATTTTATATTTTAGAAAGTGAAAAGTTAGATTATCTCATTGTAGCTCCGGTACGAACATACATTTATATAAAAATACATTGAAGCTCATGATTTTGGTATTCCACTGAAGTTGATCAGTAAAGTTGATTAACTATTCTCCACCAAAGGGGACGTGTATGGCTTACTCAAGGACATAACAAAACAATACATACCTAACTTGGACAGTTTAGCCACGACACCATGATCAGAAATCACAGCTAAATTCTCATTGTCTTTAGCGATCGTAGCAATTGCAGCACACACGGCGGATAGTACATTATGGTCGTCGGAGTCCAGTAAATCTACGGTCAATTCCAAAGCGCCCACAAACGAGCGGACCATTTCTCCGGAATCCGGAGCGTTTTGAACACAGGGACTCAATGCTAACGCTGCATTCGTTTGCACTTTCTTAGAGTCATTCTTCAACAAGGACCAAATTAATCTGACTCCATCTAATTCGTCTATTTGCATCATACAATTATGTTCTTTTGCACATTCCATCAAAACCAATGGTACGTTCTCCAATAACGGTTTATATGTATTGTTCAGATGATGTACTGTAAACAGAAAGATATTTGACGATGATTTGAGTAATTGATAAAATTAATTATTCTTTGGTTCTTACTTAACATTGGAATGCCACCGGAGGCGCGTATCTTCTCTCTATTCGGCGGGTATTTAGCACATTCTGCCAACGCTCCAGCGACATTTGTCAGAACACCATCATTTTCATCATCAAGCAGTCGAACCAATATCGGAACTGCACCGAGGAAGTCTAGTTTTTTGACACTAGCCTCACTGTTGGCACATTTCCAGAGTGCTCCGGTCACCGCAGCCATTAAAGGCTTGTTTTCTCTATTTGTGGTATCTTTTGCGGCATCTATTAGAAGCTCTAATCCCCCAGCTTCTCTTATCATGTCTCTAGTAATTGGATCACTTGCACATTTGTATATGGCCAAACTACAATAAGTCTGCAATAGAAAAATAAAAGTTAGTTTATAAATAGGCAAAGAAACATATTACAGTATAACATACCTTTAAATCTTTATCTTCGTTTGCCAAATGTGTGATCAAATCATTGACCATTTTTTCTGTTTGTATCGCCAACTGAAAGGAGGTTTCGTTGGCACACATTTGTAGAAGACCGACCGCAGGCACGGCGACATCGAGATGTACGGTCTTAAGCAAACGAGCTATCAAAGGTATCATGCCAAACTTTCTCATAGCCTCACGGTTTCTTTGCGAAGCAGACATTGACCACAGCGCTTTAGCACCAGCTCGAGCAATATCTAGAAATTGTAATTCTTCTAGATTCAACTCTTCTCTTGGCGTCACCAAATATCTATGAAAGACAATACAAACGTAACTTTTTTTAATAACTTGGAGACATTCATTATTTAACACAATTTAATGCAATTATTACCTTTCTTTAATATCCAGTAAATCAATTAATTTTGGCAACCCACCAAACTTTCTACAGAATTTCCTTGTCTTACGAATCCTTCCCAAATTCGCAATCGTCTCAGCCGCTAATATTTGAACATCCTTGGCAGGATCTGACAATAATCCGACCAATAAAGGAATAGCACCTAGGTCTGTAACCTTTTTTCTTATTTCAATGTTTGGTGAGATATCTTTTAGAACTGCCAAGCTGCCGAGAATACAGCAAAGGTCTCTTGTTTCTAATAAATTAACAAGTAATTCCAACCCGCCGATTTCTTGTATAGCTCTTTGATTGACTTCAATCGTTAAATCGTGATCCTTTAGACAGGATAGTGCGACCATTGTAGCCGTTTGATTTCCAGCCTTCATGTACTTGACAAGCTTTTGTATATGCCAGTACTCTGGTGGTATTTCTGAAGACTTGATAAGATCTGCCCAGTTGTCTTCAGAGGGCGTGGTCGAGGATGCTGATGAGGCTGACGTATCAGATCCCTCTGTGACCATTACTATTCTCGGCAGTCCAACCGCATCCTGCCCTCCTTCCATACTGAACGCCGAAATGTTATCGCCTTCCGCCATGATTTATCTAATAACTACGTTCACAAATAAATAATTAACTTGATAAATAAAATATAGTATTCTAAAAGCGCGGTATGAACATTGAGTTTTCAGTATTTTATTGACTAGTGATATGTCAATACGGTTGCTAAGCAACGCTGCTTGATCGACGAAAAAAAATGACAGCAAAATAATAGCCGCGAAAACACATTCCTGCAGCCGGCACGTGCATGTCAAAGCTGCAAGCTAGATTCATTTTACACTCATACTGAGATATGGCATCAAGGCCGTATTGCAACTTTTTTTTGTGACTGAGTAGTCACTGATTGCCTTGAAGAGGCATTTATAGCTTCACCGGGCTTGAGGTGGCCGAGCGCAAATGGCGCTTAGCCTAAACCTCGTTTAAGAGTAACAAGACTCGAAGGCTCCCTCAGGAGCCTCGGCTCGGGCTGTTACTTCGTTATAGTTACCGGATTGGGAGGTCACCGAGCTCTTACATCGCTTAGGTGGACGCTCCATGGAGTGACTGGTCTCAAGGGCCCCCGAGAGGGGACCTCGGTTTGGGCTGTCACTCATTACGCGTTTAGCATTTCGATTCAAGGGCGCCCGAGAGGGCCGAACTTCGGCTTGATCGGTTGCTATTATCTGATTGCTCCCATATTGCAACGGGGTTGGTAAGGAATACAAAATTGTATTTAACACAAATGCTCTCATAAAGCATAAAACATAATTTTCTTTATACAAAAGCACATTAGCTGTAAATAAATGGCATGTTAGAATATTAATTTACGTAATCGTGTACGTAACAAATTTGTTTCTAGGTTAGATTAAAACGCATTAAACTTAGTTTAATTAACATAATTTAACATTAAACGCATACATCGTTCTTTGTTAACAAATAACTGGCAATTAACTCTTGTTTTGTTTCAGTTTCGTCGGAGCGTTCGAGATGTTCTAAAACCGGAACATAACGACCACTACCTTCTTAGATGGCTCCGTGGTAATTATCATTTTCAACACTTTATACTCTACTTTTTACGGTGATATGTTACCTTCGATCATATATTATCAGTGTAAAGCCACGCGTCCATTGGCCGCGCCGGACGCACCGCACGCACGGATTAAATGGATTTGCTTTGCCTTTCGATGCGGACGGCGCAGATGATGGACATAGCATAGCGCATGTAAAATCATACGTGCATGCCTGCGGTGCGTCCGACACGGGCCAATGGACGCGTTTTTTTAAAATGTAAACAAATACCATCAATATAAAAGCTTCATTGTTAACACACTATTTACGTTTTACATCAGCATAATCAAATTCGTCGTTACTTCTTGCGTAACATATTTTGATCTCATATTCGCGCCAAAATCTCTCGTTTTTCTTTTCATTATCTTTTTTTATGTTAGTGGCCAGTTTTTATGTAAAAATTATTATTTAATTAATTTTTTATTATACAAATCTCATTCAGTTATGAGCAGTCAAAGGCTGAAAGACGTGACATTGCAACATTTAGGATTAATTACAATTCTATGATGACAGTTTCTTTCCCTAATGATCCGAATTTAATTCTTTGACTGTCAAAAAATATTACATTAGATTTTTTTTTAACTTACTATCAAGTGGGTTTGTGGTCACTGGTTTATTTATAATATAAAAAAAAACTTAGGTATTTCGAAATGTGGCAGTAATTTATAAAATAACCAAGATAATTAACACAGGTATACTTATAAATTATGCTCAACTGACAGGAGGATAATCTTACGGTTTTACAATTTTTAATTTTTTTTGTGTTATAATATTTTGACTCATTATGATTACGACTAACAAATGGAAAAACACAAATTAATATTGAGTGAAGTCAGGGGTTATCGTAACCTTGAATCTATTTTCCTTATGGATGAGGTTTTTAAATAAATGTTAAATAAAATTTATTAATGTTACTAATATACTGGCGTAAAAAATGTGTTAGTTAATACCATTTTCCACTAACGCGACGCTACATTCGAATTTTTTTGAGCATTCTTGTGACATATCTGTAAGGATCTTTGCGTTTTATATATTATGTATATCAAGGTTTTTTTAGTATAAGTGATATCTATACTAAAATTATTAAGCGGAAAAGTTTGTTTGTTTAAACGCGATATTCTCAGGAACTACTGGTCCGATTTGAGTAGATAGTCCATTTATTGAGGAAGGCTTTAGGCTATATAACATTTCGAAGCCTCAGTAAGAAATGTTGCAAAAACGGGAAAAACACATTTGAGGACTTTCGATGCGTGCGCTGCATAAACGGTTTGAGTCAAAAAATATGTATGAAAGCATTATTCCTTTTTAATATGTCTATAATATATAATGTTTAGATGAATGTATGGATAAATGGATGTTTGAAGGTATCTCTAGAACGACTTAACATACATATAGAACATAGACTGGGAGAACATATAGGCTATTTTTTTTTATTTCCGCGCGGATGCAGTCGCGAGCGACCGCTAGTATATCATAAGCATCTTGTCTCATTCTTTCAGCCATTCGTATAAAATGTTGTTTATCTACAACACGAATAAATCACTGTCAAAAAAATAACACAAAAAATTTACATTACTTATTTCTTGGATGTAATCATAATGTAAGATTAAGATTTATCTTATAATTTAGCATAATGATCTTTTCATGATTAAAAAAATATTAAATTAAAAAAAAAAGTTGCACAATTGTCTACTGCCATGAGTCCGCCTGATTGTTTTATAAATATACCACTTGTTAGCCGTTTAGAGATGTCGCGTATACCAATTTTTAAACAAACGCAACCCTGAGACGACAACCATCGTGGTAAAGTTATTTAAAGAATGCATTATACAAGATGACGCCAGATAATTAATTTAAAAAAAAACTTAATTAACCTATGTTGTGTTCTTCAAGACTATGTTTTACATATGTGCTAAATTTTAATAAGATCCGTTGAGCTGTTTCGGAGATGCTTTCTAACAAACATCTATCCATCTAAACATACGCATTTATTTTAATAAATTACTGAATAGTAACATTTATGTTAATTTCAAAGTAATTGCTCTTTAAGCAGGTTAAGAAGGACCATTATTGCATATTTCGTAATTTAGAAAGGATCTTGTTCATTGCCTTGAAGTGCAATTCGAGAAAGGTAGAAATAATAAGATTTCAATTTAAAATTGCGATAATGACGTATTAAGCAATTCCCCAAATGTACAAAATGATTTCACAAAGTTTGAACTCGATTAACTGCATAACGAGTTGATTTTTAAGAGTAACTAACTGTCGCCCGCGACTCCGTCCGCGCGGGATTAAAAATAGATGTTGGCCGATTTTCAGAGCTACTCAATATGCTCACAAAATTTCATGAGAATCGGTCAAGCCGTTTCGGAGGAGTATGGAAACGAAAATTTTGACACGAGAATTTTATAAGATAAGTGTAATATTATAATACAACAAACGATAATATAATATATAGCATAGATATAGAATTAATAAAACATTAGAATTAAAAAATTGTATTGTTTTTAATGTTTTGTTGCAGCGCGGCAATGGAATCCGGAAGCTGCTGAAAAAATGTTACGAGATGTAAGTAACCTTTTTAAAGAACACGATTTCAATATAATATTTTACTTATTTGGCTTAAATATAATACTAGCCGTCGCCCGCGACTCCGTCCGCGTTGGTATATAAAAAAAACTTAATTAGTGTAGCCAGCCCATCCATCCACATCACATCCATCTAAACATTCGCATTTATAATATTAGTAAGTTAAATAAAAAGAAACTCTGACAGGCATAAATTCGAAAAAAAAATATGTCCTATGTCCGTCTCCTGGCTCTAAAGCTACCTCCTCACCAATTTTCAGCCATATCGGTAAAGCCGTTCTTAAGTTATAAATAGTGTAACTAACATCACTTTCTTTTATTTATATATATGTGGTAAATTCTATTTGAAATACTATTCTTTTTCTATTAGTCCAAATTGCTTACTAAGTCTAACGCGATTTTCATTTAGCGCGTAGCCGCGCGACTCTGGAAACGCGCCACCGACAGTTGCCATTGGGTCAGAGTAACGTAGCTAACCGCTAGTGGACGTATCCCTTATAGAATCAATATCTCCATAGTATTTTTATGACAGTCACTAGTTTGGCGTGAGAAATGGGGCATTGACACTACACTAGACACGTGGAAGGCTCCTGAAGCACTCGAAAAACACTTCCCCAGTGGAACAACGGGCTTCGACAAGGAAGGATCGCCTGGTAAGTTAACGAATAATTTCCGATTTGTGTTTTAACATAATACGGACAGATATTTAATTTTTATATTGTTACTAATATTCCCGATACCACAAAGTATGTTTCTTGTAAATGTTATTGTGGGTGCAACACATAATGTTCTCTCTGTTTGTTCAAAAGAAATGAGAGAGATGTCATTATGTGTCAATACAAGTGTCGAAACATGGTGACATGCTTATATTTTTGATTCAAATCTTTTTCTAATGTTTTAGTCATTGTTGTCCCGTTCGTGGGTCTGGATGTGTGGGGCCTGCTGCACTCCGTCACCAGGACCGACCTCATCCGCATGATCCTACGTCACCTGGAGAATTACCTCGCTAGTGCAAGCAAACAGTCGCTCGTACACGGACCTAATGCACTCAAGGTATTAATTCCGCACTTGAACAAAACAGACACTTCCTTAGTTATTGTGTTTTTTCCCTCCTTTTTTTTTAAAAGTTCTTTTATCTTTACATTATAATGTCTGATTTGTAATCAAGAGTTTGCCTTCTTTATTTATTATTATTATTAAATAGTGCCATCTCAGTTTTTTCAAGGAAACCGTGAGGGACAGAAAAATGTCATTTTATTTACATAATAATGACATTTAAGATTGTAAATGACCTTTACTCATCATTTATTATCTTATGTATAATTATATTTATAAATAAAATAATTTTGTCACCAGGTGACAGTGTTATTTGATCTAGAAGGGTTCAACATTAGGCAGTACGCGTGGAAACCTGCAGCCGAGATGGTGTTCACTCTCCTACAAATATATGAGGCTAACTATCCGGAAATTTTGAAGAAATGTTTTATTGTGAACGGTTAGTAAATTATAAGAACAGGCTGAATTCTGTTCAGCTATAAAATTAGAAATTTGTTGTTTAAGCCTAACTACTATTTATTTAAGACTAGCTGCCCGCGACTTCGTCCGCGTGAAATACTGTCATTGATCTGCGCGCGGTACTTGGACATTGCAACATTACTTTATTTTAAAAAAAAGATATTTTTCTAAAATGAACGCAGCCTAAGTTACTCCTTATTAATTCAGCTACCTGGTAATATAAGGCCCATCAAAATCGGTCCACCCAATTTTATTTATATGCATAGATGGGATGAACTAACAAAAATTATGTTTTCTCTTCATCTTTCCAGCTCCAAAGGTCTTCTCGTTGGCGTTTTCAGTGATAAAGAAGTTTATGCATGAGTATACAATATCAAAGATAAAGATTTATGGTACGGATGAACGCAAGTGGCAGGCGGCAGTCCTTGAAATGATCGACAGAGAGCAGCTGCCCGCGCACTACGGCGGTACCTTGGTGGATGAGAATGGTGATCCGAGATGCAGTCTTATGGTAAGCAAGCACTAATTGTTCATCTGTTATGGATGTCCAATGAGTATATCAACTAACTAGGTAATGCTCTAGTTCTTTCATGAGAGTCTTTTATGTCTATAGAAAGAAGACCAATCAGCAGTACATTTAATTGGGTTTTTAATCTTCGTCTAACCATAGTTTTTGTATGTTTTGCGCCAAGGAACCGCGTCAACTCTTGAAAAACATAATATTACCTTAATTAAGTCGTTATTTCATAGAAAAAACACCATGTTTCATGAGATTAACTGTTTTTCTTACATGATATAAAGAAGTTTTTTTATAAAATCACTATTTCAATAGTCAATAATTATTCTTGTGTGACTTAATACTTTTGTCACGTAGGTAAAACCAGGCGGCAAAGTTCCTAAAAGTTACTATTCAAAGAACGCCCCCAGCGAGCAGAACAAGGAGTACAAACGAGTCACAGTCAAGACTGGAGAGAAACATTCTGTTGACTTACTCTGTATGGAAGAAGAAAGCGTTTTAAAGTACGTAAATATTTATTATTAGGACAAAATATACTTCACTAATCTATATTTTTTTGTCAGTCAGACTGAGATTGTGAGTTTTATCGCTAATTTAGTACGTATGTTACCCATTAACTAGTTTGTTTGTTTAGTTGTCCTTTATCTCTCACTTTCCAGTAAATATTCCTTATTTGGGTGGTTTCTTCTATTCTTAATTAATCTCTAAATCGCTTTATTTATTAAATTATTATTGCATTTTCAGATGGGAATTCGGTGTGGACAGTCATGATATTAAGTTCCTGATAAAACGTAAGGACGAGGAGGGCAACGAGAGTTTGGTGCACGGACCCCGCAAAGTGGCGGAGGGACCCGTCGATATAGGCTTCCTGCCCGTCACTGGACCTGCTACTTGTAAGTTCAACACTTGTATTCTTTAGCCCGACCAACTGATGGGTAATTTCTTGACTGATTTCGATTTATGAAAGACTTCTTTATGTTTTATGCCAAATTATTATAGTTGATAATGAGGCTAAAATACATGAGCCATTTGCCGTCTTTTCATTTCTTTACTAGCTGTCGCCGCGGAATTAAAAAAAACATAATTAGTAGCCTATGTGTTGACTATTTTCTATATGTATGCCAAATTTCATCATTTTATCAAGATCCGTTCAGCCGATCTGGAGGTACCTTCAAACATCCATCCCTCTAAACATTCGCATTTATAATACTATTTATTGTAAAAATAGCTCAACACTTTTAATAGTGTTAGGAAGAAAATCCGACAGTGTGCCGGTGTACTGGCGCAACGCTAGCCTTGCTAAAATGTCAAGGTTTAGGTTCCCTTACTATTCAATCTGACACTTGACTTTGTAACAAAAGCGCGCCATTCGCGCCAAAGGATTCTAACCAATAATGTCTAAAAATAGTTACCTACTTTATTTGCAGATTCTGTGATATTCGACAATAAAAGTGCTTATTTGCGTAACAAGAAGGTGTTTTACGATGTACTGATATCTGTCCCTGAGAGAGATCTCAACATGTCGGATGAACCCGAAGACGCCCTGGAGGCCGCCGACACCACTCAGAACACAGAGGGTGCTCAACTTTAAACTGATGCAAAAGTAAAACACGTTTAGTACTAGCCAAAGTCGACGCGAGCAAATCAAGGAGTGGAAGGAGGCTAGTGCTAAGAAAAATTTTATTCCAAAGAGAATGCTTTTTATCAACATGGTACGATAGACGATTCATTATGCCCTTATACCGAAGTGGCCGAAAGTTAAATACGGTTTGTGTTTTTTTGGTAATAAACTAATAATTACAAAGATGTAATATTGAACATTAATTGTTAAGTTTTTTGTAGATACTAGTTTTGTTTTAATTAGATTATTTTATGTAAACATGCTTCTATATCTAGGAAGTAATTTTACGTGTGTACAAAATGAAGACATAGTTTCGTGTAGGTTTTATTTTTAAATTTTAATTATAATGTGGTGTTAAAATTTTGTTAAAGCAATAAAAAATTATTCATATAAAAACACCATGTTACAATGATATCGGTGTAAAATATTTGCTCAAAAATATAAGATATTTTTATTATTATGTAGAGCGTAGTCTGTGATAAATTAATTAAAATATTCCAAAAATCAGCAGCAATCTTCTTCATGAATCCAATTATCATGGATGTTTTGGATGTTTCTCACTAGGATGACCTATCCATGGTAATAAAAAAAATCTATTAGGCCTATTGATTGGTAGGCTCAATGGGAAACACCTTTTTTAGTTCAGTAGTGTAGTTTTTTCGACCTCAAAATGCTCTCTAACAGAAGAAACTGTATTATACATAAAATTGTTAATATTTAATTTTAAGTTTAATATATGAATTTCGCTGTGGTTTTGTATTTGCTTTTTAATAAAATTAAGCGAAAAATAATTTTTTATTTACTTGATATTCCATTCATTTTAAGTTTTCAAACATGTAACTGATGAGTATGTATAAGTTAATATATGCATGAATGAAATCGGGGCAAAATTGAAATTTTTTAAGTATTTTTGTCCCTTCCAACTCAAATACCTATTGATAATGACAAACACGCAATCACAAAAAACAATTTATACACAATATTTTATTTTTAAAAATATACACATTTATTGAAGTATTTACTTAAGTATACATAATCATTTATATCGGCAAAATATACCGCCTTACAAACGCACAAAGAGATGGACTACAAACATTGGTTTAAAATGTAGAAAAAAATATACAACAAAACAGCAAATTGTTGAGCACTCTATAAATATATACCAGTTTTATTGAATAAAAAAAAATGACAGTTATTCAACGAAAATGTACTAAAACAAATTATATATGGTTAACACAATTTCCTCAAGTCTGTCTGTATACATAGAGTTCTTAAATTACATTTCTTGTATACTCAGTCGTCTTCCTCAAACAGCATTTGCAAAAGATCTCTCTTTGTACACTGACTTCCTTCAAGCCGCTGCACTCCTTTCCACTTGATTATTGTTGGAATAACAAGGAGCTTTGTGCGACTGTCTGTCCTGAATGGACAGGCTTTGTCTTTCCAGCTGAAAAAAAATATTGAGTAATGATAGATGTATACTAGTGTTTATAGAATACAAGACTTGTTTATACAGTGTTTTTAAATATTGTTATACATTTTAACGGGAAAGTAGAATCCACCCTCTTCAATATCAATTTAACATGTGCAATGCCACCCACTTGCCCGGCAACCACTTTTATACATGAACAATATATAAAGTAGCAAGGAACATGTTAAAATTATGTCTAGTATGTCAATAGAGGTTTATGGATTAGGTATAAAATTACATTGATAACAAACTAGGTCACATATTGCTTAGATGTTTGATTATCTTTGATAATAATTACACAATCAACATTCCTTTCACTGTAATGCAAACACAACAAACAATATTAATAGAATATTCTTCTATTGCTTTGGAGATAAAATGCCATTCATAAGTATAACTTTGGTGGACTGTAGATTATAAAGGCTACTGAAGGTTAGATAAAATACCTCTGAAAAATTAAATTAAACTACACCAAATATAATAGAAGGTATTGTGGCAATTCCCACAACTGTAAATTGAAATAAAACTAAGTCATAATCCACATATGAAACAACTAGCTGTCGTCCAAAACTCCATCTGCGCGTAATGAAAAAAAACTTTATAAGTAGACTATGTGTTCTTCCAAACTTTGTTCTACATGTATGCCAAATATCATAAAAATCCATTGAGCCATTCTAGAGATATCTCCAAAAAACAAACATCTATCCATCCAAACATTTGCATTATAATATTAGTTTAATAGCGTATATACTTACTAATCCCTGTCACCAACATCAACATAAGCAAAGACAACATTTCTTTTTAATTCATCTAAAAATGCTTTGACAACTGGTTCAGCTGAAAAACACAATGTAATGATTAATAAAAGAATATGTGACAAGAACCATGCATAAAGGCTATCATAATCAAAAACTATGTGAAGACTTTAAGCATGTTTGATACCCATTTGACAATAAATACACCAGCTCCTTCCATTTTCTTTCTTACTTCCGGAAAAAAGGAAATAAACATTGGGACCATTTTGAGGCAGTTTATTGACGAAATTAGTAAATTCTTCATGATTTTTCAAAAATTCTTCTTTTACTTTAGGTTTAGCCATTATTTCAAATGTCACAAAAATTCTTCTTAAAACTTACATTGACAACATAAAAAGAGTTTTAATAATCATAATTACCAAGGAGGTTTAAAATGCAAAGGATTGAACCTTACAACATTGTTTATGAATCATCAACTGTCAATATCTATAACAACAAGATTTTTAGCAACATTAAAATCGTCTCAAATACGTTAGTAAAAGTACCACCAATTTACCTTCTACGCAGTCTGGACACCAGCTTCTACCTTCGGCGTTTTTTGATCCGCTAAAGTAGATCAAAACAGGAGGACCTTTAAGATCAATAGAAGCGGTGTAGTTGGAAAATTCTTCAAAACCTTTAAGGTTAACAAAAGAAACCATTTTAACCAATTATCGTGCCCGGTATCTCAACACAACTTTTATCAATGCAACGATATTTTATCACCAAGAAAATTAAAAAATCGCCGATAAATAATTTGACATATAAATTGAAGTTGACATGACAATATCATGAACATGACATTTGAATTTTAATACCACAGAATCTGAAATAGGCATTTCATAAATCATTAGTCATTAAAATAATTACCACGTTCGACTTGTTTCAAAACGAAATTAGCCACTAAAAGCTATGAAAAACTAACAAAACATCGCCAGTGCAGGAAAGAAATTTGTGAAATAACGTAAAAATGTCTGAATTTGGTGCAAAAACCCCAATGTATTATTTCTTCCTAATGTAAACAACACCTAAGCTACTTGTTCTCAATCGATGACTAAAAGGCTGTCCCATAAATAATCCACAATTTATGCTTGCTTTAAACTCTTGCGACAGTATTTGTTTTATGAATTAATACACAAAATAGATAAAACTATTTATTATAAAGTAAACTAAAAACTATGTTAAAGTATTAAAAATAAATTATGAACATACAAAAGATTCTTCTATTATATAAATTTACACATATTCAAAATTACATTAATTTAGCTAATTTACATTTACCATAACATTTATGGCACATCTAGTTTACTACACATTTTTAAAGTAAAAATAGAAATAGTTCTTAGTGTAAAGTCTATAAAGAATTTATCAGCTGAACCACTCAATATCTAATGAAATGTCCTTTTTATATTTTTTAAAGTCTGTAGACTTCTTTTCTATAAAATTTATTACTGAATTTGTACTTCACTATCGCATTTCTGTAAAGCCCATTTTATTTTACAGGTAACCAGTACTTTAAAATATTTATTTAAATATACATTTGGTTAGATTTCATTTAATAAAAAAAATGTAAGTCACACTAATTTTATTCTAAATTGTCTTTCAAACTTAGACTTGAATGTACTATACCTATGAACAATTATACAGTTTGTCTAACTGCATTTGAAGATTTTGCGACGTAACAGCAGGTGTGTTCGGTGCTTCTACATTTTTAGATTTAATAGGCGTATTTAAAAAAATCATCTGCTCTTTCATTTTCATATAAATCGAAAGAGCCTTGTTGTCATTGTCTTTGTTTGGAGATTGAGTGCCATTAGATATATTAGGCATAGATTTATGGAATACCTTTTTTCTTAAACACAAATTCTTTCTAGGTATCTTATATGTTGGTGATTTTGAAGGAGATTTGATAACGGAACAAGGAATTGCGGTAGTGTTGCTCTTAGTAACAGATTCTGAATTATCTAATTTATTTTCACATAAATACTCTTTGTTTTCAAATTTTCTATTAATATCAGAATCAATCTTTTTCTCTTTGATGATTTTATCAATATATTTTTGTTGTTCTGTCATTGTTTTTAAATATTGTTCCATTATTTTGATTTTACCCTCATTTTGTTCTCTTAGTTTCAATAAATCATTAAGTTGCATACAATTTAAATTGCTTTGGTTTACAACATCAAAACATATTATAGAATTAACTGGCGGAATTATTTCTGTGTCATTATTGTTGAATAGAAAGTCTTCATGCCTGGTACATTCCTTTGGAGGTGTAGATAATATTGGGGATACTTCTTCGATATCCTCTAATGTAGGACCTGCTTCTTTGAAAGGCTTAGCCTCAGTTTTACTTATTAAATCTTGTATCTTCTTTTCAGTTTGTAGGAAACTTGTGTCACAACTAGATGTTGACGATATATTAGATAATGGTGCATCGGGAATAGTTTGTAGAGGTTTCCGGAAATTACTTTCCATTTTTACTTTTCTTACATCATTCTCTTTATTAAAAAGAGTCTTTCTGTTTTTATATACTGAGTTGCTTTTATTTGTTGGTGTCTCTGGTATCCTGTAGACACCGCTGATGCGGACACCATTTTTATCTGAAATATTTATTTAATTTTAAAATACATATAGTAAAAAATTTAATAGTCGATTGTAATTATAAAACCTATGTGCTAAGCTACTAAATAAATATAAGGAATGTTATTTAATATAACTACAGTCAGCGTCATATAGATCGTCACAGACAAGATATGCAAATATATAGGTACATCAAAAGTAATCAATTATATCGGTACAACAAAAGTCCTCAAAATAATAGATACATTCACCCTGCTCAAAAACATCGGTACATACACAGCGTCAAATATATGAGTACATGCAAGATGTTCATAAATATCGTAGCAGCCACAGCGTCATAAGTAACGAAGCAGTCAAGGTGCGCAAAAATATCGGTACATTTGACAAAATTGAACTCTATCTCTATATACTTGTGATACAATTTGGAATAAACTACTTCTGTTACATTCATTTGACACTTTGTATTAACATTATAGGTTGTCCGGAAAGTTCGTTCTGATTTTCGATATAAAGCTTACAATAGACTGTAGCTGAAGTGGATTCATTTTCGGATTTCCACTATTATCAAACGTCACAAAAATTTCTATATTGTGAATAATTTCATTTCATTGGTTGAGATAAAAACTAATTTTTAAAATTTTATCCAATAATAAAAGACGTTTTAGGTATAGAGTCGTACCAATATAATTTAAAAACATTTTCAAAAATTTAAGAGAACAGGGTTTCAATTTTCCTTATAAAGCGGCACGAACTTACTGGGCAACCCAATATTTTTCTTCTCCTGTCATAACGCTTAAATATATTATAAAAGTTTGTCACGCCGAATATGACAGATACGTAATAACTAATATCAAATTTTGCCTTGTCACAATATATACAAGTTTGGCGCAGTATTCTAGTATGTTTGCCGTAATATGTAAGTATACCGGTTCGAATCTCAGGCTACTTTTTTTTTCATTTTATCAATCACGCGGTTATTTTTTCATAACCAGTAAAAATTTGGTAATGTAAAATTTTGCTCGACAATTTTTTTTTATAATTTTCGCTGTCGGGTAGAAAGCAATTTAAATAACGTTAACAACAATTAGGTCAGACCATCGCGGGTGAAGTGAGTGGGCGGAGCGTGGATTGTCTTTGCGGGTTTTATGAATGGTACGCGCGGAAACTATACGTACAAGTGTTATCTACATATGTGTGCGCACGTACACTGGAATGTTTATTGCAATCGACCAAAAATTTGATGTAGTTTGGATATTGACATTCAGTTTTTTTTCTTTCTTTCTTAAATATAATCAGTATCAGTAAAAGGTTAAGGTAAAAGTGTTATTTTTACCGGTACAAGTTTAACAAACATGAGTAATAAACAAATTACATGCCAATAGCATCGCTTTATCTCCTTCATTTTTGTTTGAAATAGAAAAGTACTTTAACAGTCAAACTCATTAGTCCAAAGCAATATCAAAAAGTACCTAATAACTACGGCGATAAAGTTGAATTACAAGTGCTTCGATATTAAAATTAAAAAGTTTAAATATAAAAAAAAATAGTGGCTTGGGATTTGAACCGCCGACCTTACGTACCAACGGCGGCGAACGGTAAGGCCACGAGACCAAACTAGCATATATGATGACAAACTTAAATTTGATGTTGGTTTTATCTACCTAATATCTGTCATCCGCGTCGAACACTTTTAGTAAATTTTGAAAAATGGTTTGATGCAAAGTGTCAAATGAATGTAACAGAAGTAGTTTATTTCAAATTGTATCACAAGTATATAGAGATAGAGTTCAATTTTGTCAAATGTACCGATATTTTTGCGCACCTTGACTGCTTCGTTACTTATGACGCTGTGGCTGCTACGATATTTATGAGCATCTTGCATGTACTCATATATTTGACGCTGTGTATGTACCGATGTTTTTGAGCAGGGTGAACGTATCTATTATTTTGAGGACTTTTGTTGTACCGATATAATTGATTACTTTTGATGTACCTATATATTTGCATATCTTGTCTGTGACGATCTATATGACGCTGACTGTACATACCTGGTACAATGCTCTTTTTTCCATTCCAAACTGGCTTAGAAGCTTTTGGTGTTACAGGATTTGTGAAAGTCTGAAAAGCATTGAATGAGTATGTTTAGGCCTCAAAAACTAGGTTTATAGACTAAATCAACAGATTTCTCACCATTGGTTTTGGTTGTAATTTTGGTGTTTTTCTGGCAGAGCTCTCTTTGCTAGTGACATGTTTTGGCTCAGTTTTTGGCACTTTAACAGAGTAGTTCCACCTACTTTTCCTATTTTGGTTGACTGCTGGAGTACATTTTACTGTTGTATCGTCTTTTAATTCTGAAAAATTTAAAAGATAACTGTTCAACACAAAAATCTATTTTTATTCTTTTATGTGAACTCTTATGGAAATTTTTCCAGAAATATTTCAAATTTAATGAAATTTAGGATAAGATTTGCATTTTGTCTATATATGGCAATATTTAGGCATTAATTTGGTGTAAGAAACAAAATATAATAGTGCATATTAATAATTAAAAACAAATACTACACAATATTGAATATAGGAAACCTTAGAAAATTATTGATAAGTAGATAGCACTTGTCTACATTGCTATCACAAGAAAATAGCTGCCTTTATCATATTTATTTTTTAAACAAATAGAAAATGAACACATTTACCCATTAAAACACTTCTCATTTCGGTAAATGACAGTGGTTTGAGATCAACTCTTCTAGGGGTTGGTTGTGCTGCCATTAGAGTCCGCATAGAATCCTTTGATATTATGCCTAAAAACATTAAAGAATAGTAGAAACATTGTATCCGTTACTAGTGTTTTAGATACTGACTGTTATTGTTATTTAGTTTGTCTGTACGAACCCTTAAGCTCTGGTAACAATTCACGAATTGGCTTAGCTTTGGTTGATATTTGAATGTTATGAGCCGTGTTATCCATGATATATCTTGTTTCACTTTATAATATCCATGTAACTTGACAACTTTTTAATTATCATTTAACAAGCTAGTTAAAAGTACGTAGTAGTCAAAATCTAAAACTATTTTTATTTTGTAAGCTATATATTTAATTGACTTAATTACATGTCTCACGATAAGTGATAAGTGATCAATATAACTTAAAATCGTCCAATTATTTATCAAGAATAATACACGAATAATATACTACACTAATTAAACTACAGAGAAAACCAAATTCAAAATACTAAACAAAACTTATAACAGAGACCATCAAACAATCAAAAATTTTAAATTATCAAATTCAGTTAACTGTCAATTATGTCAAACAGGAGAAGTCAAATTTTAGTCTGTTTCACGCCAAAAATTTCAAGGTTTTTTAGAGAAATTAATTGCTAATCGATTTTTGTCAATTATTAGTTATCTTATTTCTTCAAAAAATTCGAAAGAAAATGTTATGTTCCGTGTAAGTCCTACGTTTTATACTTTGTCTTGTTAAAACGTCCACAAATTTGTTCCAAAGTAATGAACATTTTCCAAATAAGATGTGACCTAAAGGTCTATGTTACCAGGTCATAAAATTTAAAAAATCCACAAATTTGTTTGGTCAACTGAACAACGTCAAAAAAATAAAAAAGGCAAGGCTGTACGGCTTAGTTCCTTTGCCTGCTCTTTCGAGCGAATAATAAAAACAACAACAACAACGTCAAAACTTGACAACACAATCACAAAATCCTTATTTGTTATGTCAGTTTTGTTCGCACAGTAGTTGATAAGTTGTGACAAGTAATGATAACAGACTTATCATCATAAACTTTGATCTATAGATACTGCCTTGGTCTTGGACCTTCCGTAACAGTATTGCATTGTTATCAAGAATTTTAAAAACTTTTTATTTTGAACATTGGTAATAAGGAAAACTGTCCAAAATGTCTCTATCGAAACCAATAATGAATCTGGTTGCATCCTATTTACAAAACTTGTACCTACACCCTATTAAAACAAAAGCACTAACAAGGTATGTTTTTTTTTAAATTTTTATTTCTTTATTGAGTTTCAATTTCAAGCAATAAAATACATAGTATTATACATAGTAAATTTATTGTTCAAAGTCCATGTCTTGTCAAAAAACTTATTATCATATCATGAAATATTACTATTCAAATTATTCAAAATTCTATGTACCTACTCTACATAGAATATGAATAATCTTTAACATAAAGTTCGTTATCTCATTTTTGCAAGTTATCAAAACAGGGAATTAATATTTATATTTATTACTATTATATTGTGAACACATTCAGGACAACATTAATATCTCCATAGAGTAATGAACTTCACCAGGCAGCTCTAAATGTTATTTCTATTGCTTCGCAGTTGTGTGGTAGGATCAGCTGGGAGCATTGCATCACAGCTTGTTGCTGGACAATCATTAAAATTAGATCCTGTATTAGCTTTTGGATTGTATGGGTAAGTAAACTGGCTTAGAAACTTTTGATAAGTTTTATTATGAATAATACATATCTACATTAAACATAACAAGATACAAAATAATGTTCGTGTCTAACAAAATATAAAAATAAAGTTTTCACATTTTTCTAGGTTATTATTTGGAGGCACCATACCACATTATTTCTATGAAATTTTAGAAAGATTATTCCCTGAAGATGTTGTGGCTTTTCCATTGGCTAAGAAGTTAATATTTGAAAGAGCTATCTTTGCACCGATTATGCAGGCATTTTCTTTATACACATTATCAAGGTTTGAAGGAAAGAATCACAAAGCGGCTGTGAAGCAGCTGTTTTCTCTGTATTATTCAGTACTTGAAGCTAACTGGAAATGGCTTACTCTGTTCCAAATCATAAACCTAGCATTTATTCCACCAATGGTAAGTTATTTCTATATGCATTTATGAATTGTTTGATGTTAAAAATCATATTGTCATCATGAAAACAATGTCTCTTCGAAAAAAAAGTGATGACAATTATTTAAAGGTGTTAAAGAGTAAACCCACTGTTATAGTTTCTGAGACTAACATATCTATAAAATATATTGTGTATGTGACAAAACAAGTAACATTATGTTTCACACTGGAATTTTAGTCTCAAAAACCCGCAGTTACACTGTTTAAGTTTTAATTCTCATACATAGATAAATATTTCCTTACTGTAAACCTTATTCATTGGTAGTTACAGGTTTTAATGTAATTTTGTTTTGTTGTTTCCTTAACATAATGAACAGTATTGTGCTCCCTAACAGATAGATTTTCCTCATATTGTTATTGACAACATTCAGAGAGATTTCAAATTACACAGCATGCAACACCACATTATCTTCATAATCATATCATATCATCATATCCCAGAAAACTGTGCCAGTGTGAAAATGTCGCAAATTAATATAATTATTTTGTACTTTTCTATTGATAGTGCACAATCTGTAGTTATCTACTATAAAGATAAGGAGATAATATTTGATGCTTTACTGGTAAATATGTTTTTTTTTTATTTTCAGTTGAGAGTCCTGTTTATGAATCTCGTTGGATTCGGTTGGGCAATGTTCATAGCAACTAAACGTCGCGAACAAAGTCAAAAGAAGAATGCTGGAAACTAAAGTTATTGATTTGAACACATCCAATGCTATAAATATATAAAAAATAGTAGTGGCATGGATTGTGTATTGACTATTGGGACGGAAGGTGGTGGTAATTTTTTTACATGTTTACAGGGATGTATGGGGCATGTTATAAGTTTTTGTATCCTTGAGTCATTTAATGTTGAGAACATATTACATTATTTGTTTAAAAAACGAAACTTTTCAATTTGATTGTAAAGGCTGTGAAGCAAAAAATCATTCAAGGTCAACATTAGTCTATTTGAAATGTCTATTTTTGGTATATTAGTACTTTAACTTTTAAAAACTCAATCTGAAGTGAAAACGTGAAAGTCAAAGCTATGCTGTATAACATAATTTTTGTAATTTTATATCTGATTACAATAGTAACAATATATTTGATTCAGAATAATGAATTAAATAAATTGTTAGAAATATATATTTTTAAAGAGATATTTAACATTCCGTGATTATTTTTCAATCCAGCATTCATTATTATTTAATGGATGTATTTTTATAAGAGAATATATGTTATACTTAATAAAATTATTAAACATAAGTTTTGTACTGAATATTTTCTATCCAATTTATAAAAAAAAACCGAAGAAAAACTTGAAAAGCGAATAATTAAAATTGACTATTTGACACTTCGGCTTTGGGCAAAAGCATTTTTATCAAGGCGTTTGGCGGGAAAAAAATTATTACTAATTTTAGTAAACCCTTAAGATCAGAATCAGAGATTAAAGATTTGAGCTTAAAACAACAGGTAGGATAGGAGATTAAAAAGGAAGTATTTAATATCAATAAAATAACTAAATCGTATCATGTAATTTTATTTTGACAAGAGTGATGATAGGGTGTAAGTGGGATTTATCTACTTATACTAATGCGTTCCAAATGATTATTAACAATTCCTAAGATATAACGGAACGTAAAATTACATTCGGGTGTCTACATTAACTGTAATTACAATTTCTTTAAGCAAATTGAGATTCTGTACTTCTTCACATCCAATTTATTGCTTATTAGAGAGACATTGATATTATGAAGCATATTTACATATTATTATGTGTAAACAGTATTTATTAAATACTAAAAAAAAATTGCATTTAAAAACAAAAATTATATGAAAACAATGCGGTGATTAGCACAATAAATAAATTAGACTAGACTGAAAAAAAAATATGTATAAATCGACTAGATTTCACCGTGGAAATTTTAATTGCGATCTTACTTTCTACAAAAAAAATATCGAAACAAAATAATGTTTACAATTTTTTTGAAATAAATAAGCTGTAAATGACTATTATTTGTATAATTAATATAAATATCAGTTTTCAATAAATATATTGCACTATAATCTAAAATATATCGAATTAAATTCTAAGTTTTTACGACTAGAGTATTTTTGGTATGCTTAAATGTCTACATATGAGATTCGTTTGAATAAAATTATCAACAAAATATTACATTTTAACAAAATAAGAGTGTAAACAGAGATCAAAACAACATTTTTTTTTATGATTAAGAGTATTTTTGAGTATATAACACATCGTTATATAGATGTATTTGTTAAATATGTCTATTAGCTGGTTTAAAAGTAAATAAATATTCTTTGGCAATTTATTTTATCTTAAATATAAATTGGAATGCTTTTATTGTAATTAATGTTAAAAGCATTACCGCTATTCATAAATAACGAATAAAACTCCCTTAGGTGTGTATAACTACTTTGAAAATCGTTAAAAAGGTAAATTATTAATTAAATAATGTTTTTATATTAAAATCCCGACAATATTTTCGTGGGATTGCATTAAATTCATGTAGTACAATTATTCATTTACATATAACGTGAATATATTTTGACTTTATTTTAATGTAATTTTTATACATGTCTTGATTTCTATGGAGAGTTTTATAAATATCAGTATATCGCAATTTTAACAGCAAAGAAATAAGCCTTGATTTAACTACATAATAATTTTTGTAGGTATTCAAAATTCCTCATGATCCCACTGTATAGGGTCGGCACAAAATGTATTCCAAATCCGCCGGTTTTTTTATTAAAAATATTAAAGAATGCAAAGATGCCAAACGGAGCTATTGTTATCACCATGAATTTATGTTATAAGAAGGTACGCGTAAAATTGAAAAATCTTTGCTTTATGTACTTTGAAATTAGGTTTGATATTCACTACATCTCATGTAAAACCCATGTGAAGTTTTTCTAATGGGAAAGCTATTTGTTCAATGTTAAAGCATAATCTCCGATAAACTAACTTCACCTTTTTATTGTTTAGAAAACAACGGCCACCATTAATTACGTCATATAAACAGAAGGGAACGGGGAGCGCTACTATATTAATTTGGTGAACAAATGAAAAATTCCCATCCTAATTGTAGGTCTATAAAATATTTTCGCAACACTTTACTTTGAAATCATTTGATAAAAATAGCGTATTAAGAAAATGGGACTAGAACAACAAAAATAAAAACCGTAATATAAACAAATCTTTTGGCGCCAATAATTGACGTTCCGATTTCTATCCATAAACAAAGTGGGTTGTCAACACAAAAAAGTGTAACGTAATTTATGGTTGGCCCCACACCAATTTTTTCATTTTTGTCGATGGTTGGTTCCTGCATCAGTCGTGTTCAGGCCTTGGGGATCGAGTCCAGCTCCTTTGCGAAGATCTGCTGCTGTAGTAGCTGTGTGTGCTGGGTGACGACGGTGTCGGTCGTCTGTACGGTATCGGACGCTTCCTCGCGCTGGTCAAATTGTTAATTTGTTAGCGGACATGCATCAGTTAGTAGTTATAAATTAACAAAATTAAATTGTCATCATGCAATTTTAATTTGAATGTGAAGTTAAAACAGGCATGTGTATGATTTCTATCTCGATATATTCTAACCTATTTAAATATTCACATAGATTTATTAAAATTACGCTTTTAAAAAGTCATAAAATCAAAATGCAACTGTTTTTTTTTAACATAATTAAAAAGTTACTAAGACAACTTATATCGAGAAAGCATACCATACGTTATAAAAAAAATATGCAAATATGGCTTACCTCCATTACTTGTAGTGATAATGCCAAACTAGCTTTATAGAAAATTGAAAGAAAAAAAATATAAATTTATTTCATTTAAGTGTGTTCTACAACGTCTCTGTACAAATGCATCACATTACTTTACCAATCTAGCATGCAAAAAAAAAAGAAAATAAAAAACAGATTAAAAAATAAAAAAAAAACAAAAAAAACTTAATTTCGCAATAAACTTTAATGTAAAGAAACAAATCCGATTAATAATAATATAATAGAAACAAACACTTGAAATAAATGTCCACTGATATATAGCAACACTTTCTACATCTGGCTGTCAGTTTGAAGTTATTTCCTTAACGATTAAAATTGAAACATTGGATTCCATTAGTTCACCTTCTTCTTCGATATTTGTATCTGTTCGATTCGTATGTAAGATCTATTATGGGTGCGCTACGGAGGAAAATATAGTACATTAATAAATTACAAAAACTACAAGATAGTTAGTGACACTATGGTGATTTAAATCACGTTATTTAAAAACACGTAAGTAGCACACCCCTGTTAGTAACAAATGTCGAATGTTAAAATGATTCCAAATGGAAATATGTTTTAAGGAAATTGGGGATTCAAAATGGCTTGTGTAAATTATGACAATATTGCTCAATTTTCTAATATAAATTTAATATCGAATTATTTGAATATAACTTTATATTGAGTGTCACGATGTCTGAGAAAACTGTTAATTAATAAACTACTAAAACAAATAATACAATTTAGGAAATCAAAAAATGAAAAAATAAGTATAATGCCAGCAAGAAAAAATGAGCATGTCTACCACAGGTTAAGTATATGCAAATATAAACACCATGTGAATTATTCAGCAATATATTGAAAACATAAGTCTTATATAGTGAACAATTATACAATACATATTATAACTTAAAAACTATTCTATCCACAGTCACTTCACTAATCGGAGCTACTGCTCGTGTCTTCAGAACTCGTGCTATATTTTCGTGACTTTTTTCTACAAAAAACAAAATGAAAAAATTTCGATAAAACAAAAAGAAAAACAAAACCATACTATGAGGTGATACGCTTGTTGCAAAGAAAAAAATTAAGCTAAAATAAAAATAAAAAAATTAGCATAAAAAGCGACACACGGAAAATGTTAAAGTACTACAAAACCACTTGAGACAATAATGATAAAACATCAGTATTATGCGGAGATAAACAATAAAAAAAACTATCATTATTATTTCAACACAATCCCTACTTTGCCCTATACAGTGCTTTAAGTTTTATATTCTCGCTTTTGGATTATAAGTAGTTTGAATAAATGATACTAAAGAAAAAATAATTGTATTGTTACGTTAGTGAATCAGTTTACACGAGTAGCAAAAGATTTTTTTCAAAAAATAACGTCACTTTTCTTTATTTACAAAGATTATAGAAAGAAACGTAAATATCATTCACACTTGTATTTATATAACAGTGTGTACTTAAGGCACTGTATGCTAGGTGGGGTTGGGGGCCGGGCAGTACCTCGTGATGCGCCTCCTGTCGAGGAAGCTGGGCGAGCCCGCGCGGCGCGGTATGGAGAGCGAGCGCGAGCGCGTGCGCGTGCGCGTGCGCCGCGCGCCGCTCGATCTACGGTAATCGGCGTACACGCCCGTCATTGTTCTGTACGTTATTGCGTCGCGCACGTTGCATGCATTCACAAGTTCAATTCGTCCGTTTCATTGTGGTTTTATATTTATTCGCATTTGAATTGGTTTCGATAGCGGAAAACATAATTTCAGTTAGTTTTGATTTATTAGATCGTTCGTCTTGATGAGCTTTTCCAATACAGTGTTTTTTTATCGACTATGATATACCAAGTCGACAACAAACAATTTCTTTGATTTCTTAATACAGTGTTTTTGTTTGTTTTTTCTTTTTTATTGAAAAAACTCACCAATGATCAAATACTTAAAATTAATCCAATGTGAAGCCTCAGTTAGTTTACCTGGAGGAGCGAGTAGATCTGGAAGAGCTGCGGGTGGATCTTGAAGTACTTCTGCTGCTGTAAGAACTGGAACGACTGGACCGTGACCGCCTGCAATTAATGCATATAAATTATACTTTTTAAATTTTCCTCATGCCGCAAGAAAACGCCTGAGCCAATCTACATAAAAATTATAATAACTATATTTTTTTGCTCATTACGTATGAATCTCTAACTAAATTTGGTGTTTTTATTTAATTGTAAGAAATTAAAATACAATGCACAAAGCACTCTTCAAAAGAATGAAACCTTACCTTGACGAAGAGTAAGAACGAGACCTCGAACGCGATGACCTGGAGCGAGAGCGTGACCTTGACCGTGATCGAGATTTCCCTCGTGAATTGTCACGGGAGCGAGATTTGTCCCGTGACCGTGACTTGTTCCGAGAGCGTGACTTGTCCCGGGAGCGCGATTTGGTGCGGGTAGACTTGTCCCGGGAACGAGATTTGTTACGAGATCGGGATTTTTCCCGGGATCGTGATTTCACGTGCAATGGAGATTTCGATCGAGACCGGGAGCGCCGTGAGCGCCGTGAAGACGAGCGCGACCAACTGCGAGATTTACTCCTCACACATTTCACTTCTGGTGAACTATCAACATTAACCGGACTCTCCTTTGGTGGATCGCACTTATTCACACTTTTATGTTCTGGTTGTGGCGATTTGTTCGTTTTATCCGTTTTTGGGCTAACTTTACTAGTTTGTTCTTCTATTACGCTAGTGTTAGGCTGGGATGTGGAAGCATTAGCTTCGTCTGTGGCTTTTCCCAAAGTAGCTTTAGCCATGCGAGCTAGTTTCTCTTTTAGCCAAGTTATTTCTTTGATATCTAATTCCTCCTGTCTGTCCCTCGTGTCCAATGTTAAGAAATCATCTTCGGAATCGTCGTTCTCACTGGATGAACTTCTGATGCACAAAGTCTTCGATTTGTAGTTTCCGACGTCTTTCTTTTTGGGATGTAGGTCAGATGGGGATTTGATGTATTTACGCTTATCTTTTTCGGGTAATTTTTCAATAATATCCTTGTAACGTTCGGGACTACGTCGTGCCGGAGAATAACTGAGGCTCGATGTGCTTCTGCTCCTTTGGTTAGAATGAGATCTCGATCTATAACTGCGATGTTCCCTACGATCATTGTTTTTTTCTTTATCATTTTTGTCTCTAGGCGACGAGGAACGTCTTCCTTGTCGTTTCTTCGATTTACGATTCGGAGTTTCGCTCTTATCTTTTTTGCTTCTCTTTTTGGGAATGGAAGACGATCTTGATCGGCTTCGTCTGTGGTTGCTTCTGTTATCAGGTGTTGCAGATTTTCTAACAGCCTTGCTTTCAAGTTTATCGACATTTTTGAGCAATATTTTGATTTTGTCCTGTTTTTTTCTAAGCGGTGATAAATCTTGCCTCTTGAATGGCGAACCTTTAGGTGAGGGCTTTTGACATTTTCTTGATTGTGGTGAATCGCGACTTCTTACTGGTGAATCACGTCTTCTAGAGACTGATGAGTCCCGTTTTCTTAATGGCGAAGATGCCCGCCTTCTTGGAGATGAAGAGTCAACCCTCTTTGGTGGCGATAAATCACGTCTCTTTGCCAATATTAATTCCCGGTTCCTTGACGGTGATTTATCACGTTTAGGCGGAGAAGTGTTACGTTTTTTTGGTGACAATTCTCGTTTTTTAGGCGGCGTAGAACCGCGTCGCCGGTTCGCTGGTGAATCTCGTCTTGTTGGGGGCGAAGAATCACGTTTCTTTGAGTTAGTTTCTCGATGTTTAGGTGACGGGACACGCCGCGAGGGCGTTGGAGAATTTCGTCTCTTAGTCAAAGATGCATCATGCTGTCTACGAGCTGGTGATGGGCTCTTTCTATTTTGTTCCTTTGTGGGAGGGGACGCACTTCTGTCTTTATAATATTTACTTTTGCTTTTTACTTCTTTATCACGTCTTTCATTGCGCGGCCTTTCATCTTCAGACTCTGATGAGATTGATCGGTCAGGTTTTGTCATTTTGTAATATCTTTCCGGTTCTTTATACGTTGACTTGTTTCTATTATCTCTGCCTTGATATTCTGTAGATGAATCCCGATGTCCTCTTCTGCTGGATTTACTTGCTTTATTTTTAGGTTCCTCGTCATAACTGTCTCTACGATCAAGTCTGTGTCGATCGTTGTATTTTTTATTGTCATATCTTTCATCTTTTTCTGTCCTAAAAGTGCTCTCTCGTCCTCTGTCATTCCTATATTCATAAGATCTGCTTCTTCGGCGCGTTCTTCTGTCTTCACGGTAAGAACCTTCTCTTCTATTCCTGTCTATGTCTCGATCTATATCATTATTATAGGAATCATTTCTGCGATATTCGATAGAAATACTCCGTTTCCTCTTCGGCGGGGGTGAGCCACTCTTTTCTCGATCATTTCGTTTTTTGTTTGCCTTGTGTTCTTTATGTTTTGGTGGCGGTTCTTCGTCGGATACAGTTATAGATCGTGCTCTTTGACGTTTCCCTGACCGTGACTTTTCATAATTATCTTCTACAGATTCACGGTTTTTGTTGACAATTTTGGTGACATAAGATCTTTGTCTGTACTCCGGCGACTCTCTTCTGTCATCTTTGGATGAGCTGCGATCTTCACGTCGTCTCCGATCAGATCTGGAGTTCCTCGTGGTCTCGTCACAGCGCTCACTAACGCTTCTCTTGCGACGTTGCAAATCATCACGTTCGTTGTCTTTCTTCTTGCTTCGTACATCTTGTACAGGTTCACATTCGCGTTCTGATCTTTTATCTTTTGTCGTTTTAATTGGAGAACTGAAAAAAAAATTGTCTATTAATAATGTTTTAATGTTGTATTAATGAGGTCGCAATAAAAACTGCATTTTAGATCCAGATGTATGTAAGTACATAAATATTTACAAACCTCTCGCGGCTGGATACATCAATGCTTGCACGGTGTCTGGCACTCGACTTTTTCTGTCAAAATTTAAGTAAATATTAATACTTTCATAATAAAGCTTGATTAGAACACCAGTGCCAAAAAAGAAACTAAGTGTTTACGCAATTTTTTTTTAATCTTTTTACTAGTACCAATGAAATCCTTCAAGCCATTGAAATGTGAAAGAATGGCGTGAAGAATTTCAACATAAAAAAATAAAATGTAATTTCTGCACATGCACTTCTATTTGTAAACATTGAAACAAATTAATCAGAGGCAATCAATGAAACACGTTAAATAATAATTAGAAGCTACTCACAAAAGCGTTTAATATAAATATCACAATGATGATACGTTATTTGTGCTAATATAAAAGGATGTCACATTTATCATCCATAACATTCTCAACGATTTGAGAAAATACATTACTGATTAGCACCAGTGCTTCATCAAATACTATACTAAAGTTAATTACACAATAACGTTAAGACTGTTCGAATGTTATAAAATACATATATTATACAATTATTACACAAAATCAAATGTAAAATAACACTTCTGGGACGTACCTTATACAACAAACGGTGGTGGTATTTTCTACCATTTAAACATGTGGAGCATCCTTAACAAGTTTTGAGTAAACGAGAAGAGGGAGAATGTTATGGATTAGTTACATTTTTATTAATCATTCTTGACAACTAACACTAAACTTAAATTGGAAAAATGAGCCGATATCTTGCTCGAAGGACCATATTATGTTGACAAAAATAATCAAAATAGTAATTTTGTAACTAAGCATTGTTATAAGCACATTTTTCCAATAAATAAAGGTAACGCGTCTTAATAAATGCAAAACCACCATCTTTTGTAAGGACTAGGAAACACCATGCAAGTAAATAACTGCTTACGTAACCTGACAATAGCCCATTGAATGCGTTACGTTATTTGTACGATCTCAGTTAGTCGCGAATGTTAAACTTCATATGAACGTATAAAAGTTTAACACCGACATTTTAGTATTCACCTAACATAGTATTTATACTGAGTGTTATTGTTTTGTGACATACTTACAGTAAACTTTATTTCTTCAGATAAAGATGGCTATCCTATGAAATGATGCACAGTTAAACAGATCATTTTTACTGGCTATTTCATGTATTTACAGATAAATAAATAAAACAAATAAACAAAATTATATAAGAAATTTTCAACACTGAGACATTGGATATAACCCCACATAGAAAAAGTTATTTACGTGTAGGTATTATACTCATAGCAAAAAAATGGACAAAATTATTTTTATTTCACTATCAAGCGATGAATCTAAAGAAAATACTGAATTGTGTGAGTCTGTTTTACTTTAATATGTAGTCAAACTCTCAATTGTGAGTATTGGGATGTGCTTTGAAGTATAAACCATGTTTATCAGGCCAATGTGTTTTTTATATAACAGAAAAAAAGAAAGCGAGTGCTAAACCGTCTAAAATGACTATCCCCTCTAATCTATCGAAGACTCACAGATAAAATAATAAGGAATGCAAAGGGTTAGTGTTGTTCAAAAACATCCCATCATTTGAAAGTAGAAAAAAAGTGTGTAAGTCCCGTTTTTCTTTGCATGAAAACCACAAAAAATAGATAAATATAATTGCAAAGAGATATACAACTCATAATTTATGTTTTATAGATATTTAAGTGTAAATATGAATTCTGTAGAAACCCAAGTTATTAAACAAAGTTCGTAATTAAGGAAAATAGTTATAAAATGTTTAAATCTTTGGTCTTCGTCAAGTAATTATGTTTTTTTAGATATCTATGTCATTTTGATGTGTTCACAATGAATATAGTTAAAGATAAAGTTTGAAATACCTTTTTCTTCTTCTTCTGCTTTTCATCCTCGGAGCTGGCGGAGTCACTATCGTGTGCTGCATCTGAACTGCTAGAACTTTCTGTGTTCGGTGATTTGGAGCGCTTCTTCTTTTTCTTGCTTTCTTGTCTATTGAATCAAAAGTGACAATGATTTTTGATTAACCTTTTCTGATAGGATCGGAGAAAGTTTGAAGGTTATGTAGTGTTGACTAGAAGGCACAAAATTCACAGTGTCGCTTTGCCTTTTGCATACAGGTTAAAATATGAAACAATTTCTCGACATTTTTTTTTAATTACTAACAAACTGTAGAAAAAAAATTGTAGACTGTAATTTTAACTAGCACGTTTTTAATTATCCTCTGACCCCACTTTCAAGTTATCAATGAACATAATAGGTTTATTAAAAATTTCATACAAATAAAAAAAAAATCTTCCGTTAGTTTACGCATTTATGTATGTCAGAATTGGTATGTTGTTACAGGTGGTATCCTAAACCAAATATTGAATTACTATGCTCCATTAACAGCTTTATAATTCAATGGATAAAAACAAGGCCATGGCCCAAAGTAAAACCCTTCTTCCACTAAACCGTTGCTTGAGTCGCGGCAGCAGTACTAATGGAAATGGGCAGCATTATAGAGAACAATTTCGATAGACACTTCAATAAATAAGAATTAATTGATTTAAATAACAAAAGACGTATAGAAAATCTTGACACGATCGAAAAATAAATTCAGATTGATTGCCATTAAATTTAAAAAAAAATTATAAGTTGCCATACCTACGCATGCATTTCCATAACATTTTTCTTTGACTGTAATAATTAATTTAAAAAAATGAATTCAATGATTTTAATTTGAATCTAAACAATACTTTATTACTATACTTGCCTCTTTGTCAATTCAAGTGTCACCTGTCTGGATGTAAATGATATTTTATAGAATGGTAGAAAAAAAAACTCAAATTTATAACTCAATAAATAAAAATACCTACCTGTCTTTTTTATTTTTCTTAGACTTTTTCTTCTTCGCCTTCTTAGACTCTGGTGATGCACTGAAAATATGTTTTTAAACATTCAGAACAATGACTTATTACACGATCTCCAACAATGGTAAGAAATAGCAAACACATACACTTTATAATATGTGAGATCCTTGATGACAAGGATAAAAGCATTGCCTACATAAATACTGATTCATCGTAAACTACTTTTTTCGTATATTTCTCTTAATAAGACAAACTAAAAAAACATGCTTTTTACAGAAAAAGTTCATAAATTACTTATGAAGGTTTTTAATAGGTATTAGGTAATCAATCAATTTTATTATTTATCATTAGCTTCTAGTGTAAAAATTATTTTTAGTTGACTAAAGTTACAAATTTCTTATCTTCAATAAAATTTATCTCATTATACCTTCTTTTCTTTTTCTTCTTAGTGATCTGTGTATCACGCTCCTCCCGCTCGTGGCTGGGTGTCCTCACGAGCGGGTACCGGCGGGCCTCCTCACGCGCGCGTCTCTCCGGATCCAAGCTGGTGCCCTCCACGAACCTCGGTGATATTCCGAATGCATCCCGGAGACGCGCGTTCTTCTCCTGTTGCGCTTCTGCGACCGCGTGCGTCTCACGTACGCTGTCCAACAACATGGAAATTCAAGATGGCGCCGAAGTATTCGATGTTTGTTAAACTTTGGATTTTTCTTATTTGTATTTCTTTCCTTGGATATAGATTTCATCATCACAAAGTATAATCTTATTGGAATTGAAAGTTTCTTTACTTTTAATTGAGCGATAGTAAGTGTAACTATCTATGAGACAAATAAAAGTAACATGAAATATTTTAATTATCGTTTTACAACGAATATTTACCTGATTTGCACCTAAGTGCGCTAAAAATATGAAACAAACGTTTAGAATACTAAATTCAGTAAGGCCAATTTTAGTATCGATCGCTTTATGTTGTGCCAGTACCAAACATTCAATGTTAGCGGAAAACGAGCGTGAAATCGTTTATATTAAAGAGAATTATCGTACGCTTAACGTTCATATTAAATTAGCAAGTCTCCTGTAACAATAGCAAGCGACCTACATACATCGGCTTCGCGGCCGATCGATCGAACAAACCTATGCCCACCTTATAACGGACCGCATGGACTTCCTCTCCTCCTCGTTGGAGAGACAGACCTGCAAATTGTTGTTAACATTGTTGCTCATTGCGCAGTTACACCGACAACAGCACGAGCTCCTGAGGCCGGCGAGGAGCGTGCGCAGAGCGGGCTCTAGCGTGTCTGCGACGTGTGAAGGCCCTTGCTGTGCCATGGCGGCGGGTATTTCTATGGCCTCGGGGTTAGGGTCATGCGAGGATGCGCGGGGCCTTCTCTGCGGGCCCGCCACAACGGCCCTAAAAGTGCCTCGCCAGAGTCGCTCAAAGACGAGCCTATCGTTTCGTTCGCGACGCGACGCTCCGCCCCTCTGCATGTTATCTTAAAATACTTAAAATCTAATGGAAGACTTAGTTACTTAAGGCTAATATATTTCTAAGGCGGTTATGGAAGACTGTTCATAGAGGGGTGGAGCGTGGCTACATGGCGGCGGCCGGCGGCGGGCCGGCGGCGCTACTGCGGCTGGCGAGCGGGGCGGGGCGGCGGCAGGAAGCACGCAGACGCGCGCAGGGTGCGCAAACAACTCATCTCCGTTCTACGTCGCCCTCGCCCTTTGAGTATTAAAACCTTTGTGTCGCAATGAGACCAATTTCGTAATACTCATTTTCTAAAAAATCATTCTGCAAATAGTTTTCCATGGAATACTTGGTTTCGTAATAGGTAAATTGTTTGCACCTTTTTTCTGCCCTATGCCGTAAATAGAATTAGGCTTATAGCTGTTTTCAAGTACATATTTAGTAACAAACGTATATGGAATTCGTCGTTATAAACATCAAATAAATATTTGACACCAAGATAGACAAGAAAGTTATCAACTATTAACGCGATTTTTATGCGTCGCAGTAAAAATTAGCATCGTTGGTTACACACACGAATCGTAAACCGTGTACGTGTAAAACGTAAAAACTATTTTTATGTGACATTTCTCGATCACGACTCTGGTACAATAGCGGACGAGGCGTGCTGAGGACGCAATGCCGGGGGCTTAGCTCTGCGTGGGTTTACTGTTTTTATAGCCGGCTCGCGCACTGTAATTATCATAATAAAATTATGACGCCCTAGATTTATATTGTTCACTCGTAAGTGCTGTGTACCGATAATGCTCTATGGCAATCAATTTCATATATTCTTGTAATTTATGGAATACGTAAGAAATCCAAAATACCATAGTAAATACGATTTAAATAGTGAAACTGTCAATACACATTAAAATTTAGGGCTAACTCGGTGTTGCTATAAAATTTCACATAACAATGGGACGAAAAACGTGAGTTACCTTTATCAAATTGCAAACTTGAAAGAGCAGAGTTGTACGTGCAATTATTTTTTTGGCTTTACTTATTTATATCCCGTGTCCCCATTTGTTGTAATCTAAAAAATATACTAAAATTAAATGCGAATGCTTGGGTGGATTGATGGATGTCTGTTGGAAGGTACCTCGAGAACGGCTGCAAGGATCTCCCTGAAATTTAGCATATATGTAGAATATAGCCTGGAAGAACACATAGGCTATTAATTAAATTTTTGTAATACTGCGCGGACGAAGTTACGAACGCCAGCAATTTTGCAATAAATATAAAATTGTCGTATATTTTCAAAAAAACAGTTAAGCGAAGACCCGCCATGTCAATCCTATTACTCGACCAGCTTGACACATATTCTTAATTCTGGGCTTTGTCGATCGTCGTAAGTATTTATATTTTATCCAATCAAACAAGACTGATCTGATTGGATAATCTACTGCTTTTAAAACATATAAATAATTATTCAATTCGATGTTTCACATACATCTCTCTTATGGCCCCTGGATTCCAGCAAAAATTGTGGCTCTAACAAGGTGTTGATGCCTATTTTTTGATACTTTACTTATCATTTACAAACAACCTATCATATTTTCCGAGTTAAAACACTCAGGACCAATTAAAAAACCATCTCTCACAATTTCATATTATTATTGCGTAAACGTAATTCGATTTTACGCTTTTTCCTTAGTGAAATGCTTAGTCATAACTCTTCATTCGCCTCATTTGCAAGTGACAAATCAAATCGCTGTACTTCATTTCTTTTTCTTAATGAACCAACTCGTGAACAGTATTTGGTTTATCTCTTAATAACTGTATAGCATTTTTATTAATACAATGTTAATTGAGGAAATAAGCTAAATTAAACCGTGATAATCGTGCAGGTAAGCATAGGCATATCTGTGACGTTTAGATGGATGGATGGATGTTTGTTAGAAAGTATCTCCAGAACAGAACAGCTGCATAGATCTCGCTGAAAATTGGCGTAGAAGTAGAACATAGCTTGGAAGAGCACATAGGCTAATAATTCAGTTTTTTTTTTTAATTTTGCGCGAACGATACATTGACGACGATTGAAATACATTTCGGTCTTATATTGGAGATTAAAGAAAAAAGAAAGAAAATATTTAAATAAGTGGGGTAAAAGAAAGCCAGCTCATGGTTAGTCCATGACATACGTTACAAACAAACAAACAGGCCTGCTTATTATGATTTCAGATTAAAACAGTACATAAGTTGATTATATTATCGCTTGCTTTCATAATCAATACAAGCGTAAAATGCGGCATGATATTGGATTCAGTGTAATTATTTTACACACTGAAGTATGAATTAAAGCATTAATAATTTCAAACCAACAATGATTTATCAAGCAATCCTAAAATTCTTTGCGTAAAAAATATATTAACTGAATTCATTGCGTGACTTTTAAGTCTAGTTTATTTTGAATGCGTGGGTGTGGTTTTGTACAATTCGTGCAACATAACAAATACAAAATTTAATTTCCGTTTGTAATAAATTATTTTTTAAATAACCAACACTTTAGAATTACATAATTTGATCTCTTTTTAAAATAAAATGCGACTGGCCAAAGTTTTATTCAACAATTGTTTATAAATATTAAACGATGTCTTGCAGCCAGTGTCACTAAATCGTTTATTTTATTATTCTAAAAATTCTGTGGCTCATTATTTTCGTCTCGGACAATTCAGTCAGATCACAGACATTTATTCATAGTATCGTAAATATGAAAAGCGTGCAGCTGTTCTTCAACAAAAATATAATTAGTTTTGACAGATTTTTTCAATTAGTTGAGACAAAAATATACTGTATTGTGTCTAGTTTTAAAATTATATTTACATCAGTTAAAGCACATGCCAAAATAACTAAAAATGGAGCATTTAATTTCAAATTGCTTACAATAAAGTTACGTTAAAAACTGATAGATAACAGACTTCATATGGAACATTTAATACTATGTCTCTTCGTATTCTATTTGCATAGACCAATTTTTAAAAAATCAGCCCTAGGTGTGAAAAAGTGCAAAGAAACCGCAAGTTCCAGTAAAAATTAGGTCGAGCTTTTATTTATTTTTCCACATGCATATTTAGAACGAAGGCACTTGACACGGCAGAGTGTAGCACCGTCTTATCACGAAACCGCATTACCCACCTGTCACGGGCAAAATATTATAAACCAACTTTAAGAAACGAGTACGAAATATGGTGCTCGTTCCAATATTTTAGACCACAAAATATTGCATTTTGGTTGGTCATAAGTCAACTTTGTGTGCCGTATTGAAGATAATTTCGTATTTCTTTCTTTTTAAACGGAGGGGGAGGGGGTCACCGGCAATATATCGCTTCCTAACAAAACTATATATATATATATATATAGAGAGAGAGAGAGAGAGAGAAAAAAAAACAGATTACGTTGTAAGAACAAATAAAACAAGCAAAATAATTTTCATACATATAAAATCGAACCTCATAGTGAAATATGAATTATAATTAACCCTTCAATATAAGATAAACATCAAGGTAGCTATGGGGTGGCGCGTGGATATTTCAAATGGCCACCCCCGGCTCCCGAGCGAGGGTGCGGACTGGCCCCTTCAAGTCGATCGATAGGAAAGGACCCTAGCTGGATAACGCGTTGCGCTTTGTACACAGTTCATTGCCTCCTACCCTACACGAGGACTCAAGGTATACATAACAATCGACGAATACGTCAAATCAGATACGATGACTTGTATTTGTGTTTGAGTTAAGAAAATATAAGCAATCTAAAAACTTGAAATTGCAGTAACATTTCAGACGGTGCAATATCAGTACAATGTTTGAGAGCAACTCTGGTAAAAAAATATATTTGAATGGGTAATAGATTAGACGTATATTTGAATTAGGACATTCAGTAATGTCTCATCGAGCTTTTGCAGTTTCATTATTATATAAAGTTAAACTAACAATGTGAAAAACATATCTTCTTATTGGACGAATTCAAAGCTAATGGAACATATTAATAGATTTCACGTTGATTCCCCGGTATGTTTACCCACAATATCCGCGGTCGGGTTGCGGCTCCAATCGATTACTCGATTTATAATTGCCAGAGAAATTAATTGCGTTTGGCAGATCGTTCGGCCGACGTCATTGGCTGTGACCTGGAGTGCCGTTTTCCAATTAATTTATTTCAATGAACAACGAAAAGAACTTTTCTTAGTATGGATTTACAAATATACCCTAGACGATTGCCGCTCCAATAATCTTCAGACATGCACCAATTAGTACATCTCTTTAGTCATTCGATTGTATTCGAACCGAATTCGTAAAGAATAACATAACTATTATACATTAGTTAAGGGAATACTTATCGAAGAATTATTCAAAAATTCCGCGTGTAAATTCTCTTTAAAGTTTTATTCGAAAAATGAAATCAAATATAGTTTGCTATTTTATAGCGTAGAGCGATCGGTACCGACTTGTGGAATCTAAAAATTGTAATACTCACGCGACTCTTCCAAATTCGTCTTTGGATACGTCCTTGTCCCCGCTGCTAGACTCTGACAGCTTCGCTCTGAAGGCAGCTACGCGCGCCGCTATCTCCTCCCTCGGCAACCTGCGTAGCCACACCAACGAAACGCTCATTATTAAAAAAAATCTCGTTTTAAATTAAGAACAAATTTAAAAAATTTGTTGTAACATCCGAAATTCAAGTTAGCAAATGACAAAACGCTGCGATTGACTTGCGGCGGACAACGCGCCTTACGGGGAAATGAAATGTAATAAATTCTGAAAATAATTTCTCGGTTAGGCCGTCACCTGAACGTACCAATGCATGTTACGCCGCGCTGTTGTAATCGCGGAATTACTTTCCGAAAAACAATAAAAACGATAACGACTCCACGTTACTCGGCGCGACTTGTTCGACTGCGGCGGACAAAATGAATATTATATGACATGGGGTTGCCTAGTCCCGCTCTGTTGCATTATTGATTTGACTCGTGCGCAACTGGGGCTGTTGCCCTTACAAGGGTGGATTGACTGATACAGCAGTAGGCCATTCATTGACATGCTCTATTATTGACTACTATGAGGGACTTATTGTTTATAAAATTATTATTAAAAAAAATCACATATGTCGATTCATAAAACAGGTTGCAAGCGTACGGCGACAATTGCAAATATTTAAATATTTATCTTTTGATAAATTTAATTTATACGGCAGTAACGAGTAACGCGTGCAAACAGTAAAAATTAATTACAGTAGCAAGGTTCCAACAAAACCAGGTGCTAATCTGGCCAACCGTATCGCAATCCTCTAGTGCCCTATAACACGACGGTTTTTTTATTACACTCATAAAATATATTTTCTAGGTACATAAATATTCAAGCAGTTTCTTTTCTGTATATCAGTTCCTAAAAATAGGTTTCTGAAATAGTTTGATTTATATTAGAGTAGGTACATATAATTTTTTTTAAATACGTAAGTTTCCTACTTGTGTTAATAATTTATTTCATCATTTCAATTAACATTAATAAAAAAAAATTAAACATAGAATTGAACAAAAGGTTAGGTTAGGACTAAGAGTCTGCAATTCTAGAAGAACAGCCAATTAGCCCAAATTATTTTATTTATATAATATGTGTACTGTAAAATATGTCAAAATAGTAAATAATAAGAAACTCAATTGAAAGTTAAGACGTAAATAGACACAACATTATAGTATTTGTTGAGGTATTGGCAAATTGTTTATATACAGACTAACAAAACATCCATATCAGTTAACAAATGACCATTTGGTAAGCATTTAAAATTATCATGATGATTAAAAATAAAGATGGAAAACTAGTTTAGAATGTGTAATGTGCCTTAGTTATTTTTACTTGACAATAAGGGTGTATTTATACTAAAATAATAAGACAGAAGTATTTGTTTGAACACAATTCTAAAAAACAAAGTATAAAAAGCACCAAATAAAAAGTAACGAGGAATCAATCCACTGGATAAGCACACATTTAAGGCATCTACCGTGAACTATGTTCTATATTAAGTTAAAGAACACAGTATACAAAATTAACCAACAATGTAACTGGTCTTTATAAGGCAATGATCTTTTGGTTTTAAAGAATGATAACATAGTGAAAGCTAAATTTTAAAACTCATTTACCTTTAACATATAATAGTATGATGTATAAAATACCAGACATTTTCTACAACAATTAAATTTTTAACCTTGGTAAATACATTTGAACAATCATTAATGCAATTATAATTTCAATCAAAAATTGATTGAACAATAATTCCTTAATTAATCCATGAAATTTCATTTACAACAATTACTTAAGTATAGTTTGATTATTAAGTACTGTAATTATCCACAACATCTAATTAAGAAAATAATTTCCAATGAAAGCATCATATTATGATGACATCCGAATCCCAATATAGTATCTTCTAACAATCCTTTTGTCAACTTACAATATCTTAGATCAGGGATAGCAAACCTTTTTGTGTTAATGTTTTTTTTTATGTCACAAGGTGGCAAACGAGCGAGTGGCCACCTGAAATCGCTGAAATAGCGAAGTGACCGTTGCCCATAGGCATACGCAATTGCATATGCGTTGCCTACCTTTAATCAACGGAGGAGAGGATGCACAGAAAGAAAATATTTTCCCTTTCCATGCATCCTCTCATCCGTAAAGTCCACTTCCACTTCCTATCCTTTCCTTATAAGAAAAATGATGGGAAGGGAAAGAGGACTAATTTTGGCCTCCGGGACGCACACTCATCAGACGAAACGCGGAATTGCTTCCACTTCACACCTGTCTTCTGTGTGGTCGTGGTATTTCACCGGGCGAGCCGGACCGATTCGTGCGAAGATGTTAAAGCAGGCTCTACCACTGTTAAGTTTTTTTCTCTAAAATAATGTTTAATAAAGTAGACCATCCAATAATTTTCACTAAGTGATTACTTGAAATATTCCATAACTTAGGGATTACTGCCATTCTCACCTCATGTACTTCACACTTTTTTATGTCATAAAAAAGTGGTTTACCCCCTTTTTAGGTAGTTCACTCAATTCATTCATAATATTACTCTACCTAGAGAATTGATATTCTACACAAAACTATAGACAAGGTTTGAGTATGTATGATTACCATTTAATCATTAAAAACATGGTATTATTGAAGTGCATAAAAGATCATCTGAATATAATTTGTTAAACTAATCGATATTATGTCAGCCACATTTCACAACATTAGCACAATAAGAAAAGCTTGAACATAACTACTAAATAAACCTGCATGTAAATATAGTAGTACCTAACATCCTATGAGGAAATTAGTTATATTTGAACTTTTACTGCATGGTTTCAATAATAATAACCTATAGTTTGAATGTTTTATGGAAATCTTGCCAAAAACTCACCCCTGTTCTTCCAAGCTATCTTCAAGTTCAGCACATTTGACTTCTATTTTTCTTTTCCTTTCGTGATCAAGTATTTCACGATTAGGTTGTTTGTTAGACGCCGAATCCAACTTAGCAATTTCCTCTTCGGTGCGATAGTTCACAGAATCTTTGGTTTTTCGAACCGATGCCCAATTCCTTTGAACGTAGCCATTAGTTCCTGATCCTCTCGGAGTCGTCAATCCAATACCATTGTACATTGTGTTGTTTTATTTACCTAAATTGATATTTAAGTCAATTAACAAAATTAACTCCATAAAACGAAGCGCAATTTGATACGTCGACTAAAAGAGAATTTGATAAAATTACAGTACGCACTATTTCTTTAGTTATTAAATTAAGCACAAATACGCGGAATGTTTATTGGGGTCAAAGTTATAAATATCTCACCAATATTTTATATACAGCTCAAGAATTTTTATTCGTAAATCGCACGTCCATCTTGGCTGAAAGGCTATGAATTTATTGTCTGTATTTTGTCAGTGTGACCAGATATCGGTTGTACATTTTGCCAACCATCCGTCTTCTATGATATTTTATTCTCATTTAATGCTAATAATAAAAATCAGTTCATGAATGATTTCTTAAATATAAAAAATCTTAATTTCTGGTTAAAAGGCGACAAAATAATATTCAGTAAAATTATTATAATTTTAAATGTTGCATTTTTTTTTATGTCTTAATTGAGCTTTGAGCTACGTTAGTCATAATCATGATGTCGTTATCTATTCATATCACGTTTTCTATTCATTTTTTTGGTTTTAATTCTGCAAACATTTCAGTATAATACCAAAACTGGTTACACCATTTTTTGTTGTCTTTACATGTATCTATGGTTTATGTTTTAAAACGATTTTGCAAAAAGTAAAATTCTTAAATTTGAAACTAGGCTAGAATTTTTTCTCTTAAGGAATTTGTCTGAAAAGTAGGGCTTCGAACGTTTTTGAAGTTAAAAAATGGTAAAATTTTATAACAGATATTTTTGCTTGAAAACTACACAATCTGTACGTTTCATGCTGTCATGGAATTAAAAAAACAATGTTAATTGTCAATTCCGTTTGTGTTGTTTTTAAGGTTATGATTATTGTTTATGTTTGATTTGTAAAGTTATTGAGAAAAAACTTGAAATATTAAAAAACTATAAAATGCTGGATAAAATGTTATACAACACTGTTTTGTGTCAAACATATTCACCTTGTGGGAAATATTTAATTGCAGGTAATATTTACGGTCATATCGCGGTGTTTGAGTAAGTATTTGATTTGGTAATCATTTTATATAATTTATGATAAAGGAAATTGAAAAACTTTTCTTTTTTACAGTCTTGATGCAATACTTCATCCAGTTATTGAGTTACTTACTCCTGATTATAACAAACCAAAACATTTGCATGTGTTAGAAAACAAGACCCAGATTTGTAGTTTGGCCACTACTGATAATTTTCTTATTGTCGGTACGGTGAATGAAATATCTGGCTGGGATTGGAAGGCGGTTGTTCAATCAAAATTAAGTAAACCTGCTTGGACTATCAAAATATCAAATCAATCGAAGATTGACGAAACTGATGTAAACAGTTTATGGTTCAATAAAGAAGAAAATAAGATCTATGCTGGTTGTGGTGATAATAAAGTTTATGTATATAATTTAGAAGATGGACGACGTTTAAATACATTTGATGGACATAAAGATTTCATTCACAGTATCCATGGAAGGTATTTATTATGTATTTTATTATATTTCATTGCAAGTCTGTTTATTTCCTATATGACAAAACAGTACTGATAAAAATTAAGTCTTTAAAAGAAGTGTTATTTTATAAAAGTTTTACCTTATCTGTTATAAGGGATATTAAGTTTAAAATTTAAAAAAAAGTGTTGTCTAAATGACCCATCCAATAAAGATTATCTCCTATCAGATCTCTTAACATGAACTCTTTTTGTCAGGTGGGTTGAAATATTTTCACATCATCTTTATTACTTAATGTTTCAGAGGGAAACAGTTAATATCAGCAGGTGAAGATGGCTTGGTAATGCTGTGGGACACAAGAATGGTAAAGTCACACAACAAACTGGAACCACATAAAAAGGCTAACATTTCCAGACCTGAAATTGGTAAATGGATTGGATCTGTGGCTTTAGATGAAGACTGGATAGTAAGCTAAAATTTGTTTTATAAATATGTGTAACTAATTTGTTTGTTTAATATTATTATGAGTTTTGACTTAATTTGTTGGCAAAACTAAATCAATCTGCATTCATGGGAATATTATAATCGTATTTGTAACAAAATCATGTTAAAGAGAAATGAGGGAATGTTACAAATTAGTTATATATTTCTTTGTATTTCAAAGGTGTGCGGTGGTGGTCCTCGACTAGCGCTCTGGCATCAGCGTTCGCTTGATGCTGTGATGGTGTTTGACATCCCAGATTGTGGTATCCACGTCTCATTCTTCCATGAAGACTGTATAGTTGCGGGTGGAGCTGCTAAGCATCTCTACCAACTGAGTTACTCTGGAGAAGTCAAAGTTGAACTCCCTGTGTCAGCCACAACTGTATACTCTGCAGAATTAAGAACTAGCCCAAATAAGTTGCTAGCGATCGCCGGATCCAGCCCAGAAATCGACATCTGCACCAGTTTTAAATACAGAGATCAAGTTTTACATTTTAGATAATATGTTTGTAATAACTCATAGTATAATTTTTGAAAATTGATTTGACTTTTATTTCTTTTAACTATCCTACTTACACAATTTTAAGGTCATTGTTCACAAGAATTTAGTAATGTTTTCAATATGCGTGTTGGGGTGAGGCAAATAAAAAAATTGTAACAAATTCTTTATTAAATATATCCATGACCAGCTACAACCGCAGGTATGAAACCCTGACTTCCATCTTTTTTCTTTACGTAAAACCACTCTGAATCAACGTCACTTTCACCTACACCTTGCATCAACATCACAACGTCGCCTTTGTTCACAGATAACGTCTTATTCAATGCATTCCCGCCATAATCACAATTCACAACTAACAAAGTTTGACGTCTCACAACACTTTTAATTTGCACATTCTCTTTATCATGAATCTTATCAATATTTGAACAAATAGATTTAGTTTTTAAATATAACGTATCAAAGTCTTTCTCTGCGCAGGAGGTTTGAGATTTTATAGATCTGTCGAGGCGCGGTCGACTGCGTGTTTCGGAACGCGTGCGGCCGCGCAGTTGTTCCTTCTCCGTATCCGTGAGGTTGCCGCACGGCCGCGGATAGATGTCAGTGCTGCTTTCCCAGCAAGGAGTCTTCTTTTGTACTGATGTCCTAGAACATAGAAGTTATTGTATAACGTTACTACAAAATATTCAAGTCTGCGTTACACGTCACTTTCTCGTGTGCCTTTTTAATGAAGAAAGTAAGGCTACTCAATACTTAATCTATCTTAAATAAAGTTGGATTCAGCTCTGGCATATAACTAACATAATGTAAACAGTAACCAGGATGCTAGGAAGCCCGTGCAGTCCATTCCAGGCCAGCCCTACTTTCCTACTGTACTGGCAAAATGTAAGCACGCCATAAAAGTAGGAATTTTGTTACCTATTCGGTAGTATTCCTAGCGGCAGACAAGCTGTATACAGTAAATATCCCTCGTGGCCGTGTGGAGTTTGTGCGTACACCCATTGCTGGTTCTTGAACACCGCGTTGACGACTGTCCCCAGCGGCAGGGTCAGCTCCTGCTGGCAATCCTTTTGCGTCTGATACAGTGTGGTCGGGAATGCTATCACTACTGGTATGTTCCCCGGATGATCTATAGATGCCTACCAAATATAATTAAAAAAATATTTAACAGTTTTTGGGTAAGTAAAAGTAACTGTAAGTATTAATTTGAAGATTATTAATAAAAAAAATATTATGTTATGCTCTTTACGGATACTTAAAAAACTAAACGACTACAAAAACTTGGTATGTATATCCTATACGATTTGAATGAATGTGATGCAAAAATCTATTACATTTTATGCTTGAGCAAATTAATTAATGATTATTCAAATTAACGAAATGTTATAAATAAAAAATATAACGGAAAATAAACGTCGAATAAAAAAAGAAGGTGTTTAATCCAGTTCTAACAACTAGACAAAATATAAATGATAGATTTCAATCAGTATCAATTACAAAGCACACTTCTAAAGCAACAGCATATCATTCGGAGATGTATAACCTATAAAAACTTTTTTTTTTTTAATTCATGAGGCAAAGGTCGAGACACAACTCATCGGAACATTATATAGCGATTTTTTAACGTCCATCGGTATATCATATTACACGCGATACGAACTGGCGCAATTAACTTACTAGCGTTTAACCTCACCAAGATATATCGTTGTTTTAAATTAAGAGCGCTGATGAATGGTGCAGTACAGGTCCGAACTCGGTAATAAATAACAAAATATATCTCTGTCAATGTGTGCTAAAAGTTTATCTTTTGTCATGTCACAGAAGATTAATAAAAAATATATATTTAAACAGATTTTATGCAGTTTTGCAGATAAATATTTTCACATATTTAAAAAACCACTATAATTTCAAATTAAATTAATTAATTATTGTGACCTATATATGTATATTAACGGAGAATTATAAACGAAACTTTTACTATAAACCGCAACTTTAGACCTGCAGCGCCAACAAGGGGGCGTTATCGCCCACTTTGGGAAAGACTGCTCTACAAGGTTATTAAGGCTTTTGTACAATGGTATGAAACATCATACAAGTATTATTTATTGTTTTTTTGAAGAACAAAAAAACAATAGCATCGTTAGTTTGTTTAAACGAGCAATGTGCTAACAGTAGCAGGTGTACTAACGTTTTCCCTTTCTTGTTGCTACGGAAATAAAGGGTACGCGAGTGTTCTAACCGATAAATTAGCCATGACAGAACGCTTTCTTTAAAAAAAAAATAACAATCTAAATGACCGCGGCAGATTGCGGTCCAAGTCAGTCCCGTCATTTTTTCCTTTTACATATTTACAATCGAAAAAAGCGTTCAATTTTCAATACGGAGAGACGATAATTGCGTGAAATCGCAGCGTATTTTTTTTTAAATCGGTAATGTTTAAGGCCGATACAAAGTCCGTATTTAATGTTGCCAAAATACCGTATTTCAAAGATGCAGTTTATACCGCGAACAATTTTGAGCCAATTTCGCGGTTAACAAATTTCCGTCATCTTTTTTTTTTAGGTTAAATATCTTTGTATTTTTGTAAACTGTAAAATAATGGAGTAAGGTATAATTTTGTTGCACAGTCGAACCAACTATTAAGGAAGGATTACCTACGTTTTATCTTATAAACTTTAAAGTTAATGTCAGTTTAATGTTTCTGCAAAATAGAACTGAAATATCATTATTTAATACTTCATAAAATAGTAGAGGTAGTTTTTTACTCAAAAAACCTCACTGATTAATTTTTTATTGTGTAAGTATAACAAATTTTTGGATATTTCAGATATTCAGATTTAACCTATAAATAATTCAATGAAAATGTAACAAATAAAAAAGCCAATACAATTTTCTACCGTTAAACTTTTCTTAGTAAATAATTTCTCCTAGGATGTAGGAATTTTGATGAAATCGTCTCTGTATTGCAAAAACAAAAATTACGAGCAACACAATTGTCACATAAATTATCGCCACGTAAAAACCAATGTAAACCTTAAAACATAGGAGTAGAGAAGATAATCGTGTGGGAGTATGTGCAGTTTAGTTTGATAGTGTTGTTGCCGCTCCATCCTACATTACGTTGTCACAATAATATTGCAGAAATGAGTAATGACCGAGGTACTCGAATCGCGACTAAATTCAAAATGTTTTTAAGCGATTACAATAAAGTACGCTCGTAAATACATACAAATAAATTATACAGTTATATCGCGCTTAATCCTGTGATAAAAATAAATTATAATCGTGCAATTAACATTAATTTGACATTAATATATTTAATAAATAATCTGTACAAATTTATCTTCTAAGCCAGATACAATTGCCGTTTAATCAGTACTACCATGGTTTTATTGTGTGCACGTAAAAAACGTTTCCAGTAAAAATAGGAAAGGAAAGTAATGGGAAAGAGTATGCGAGATGTTATAAGTTAATTGATTTCGCAATTTTTCAAATAACGCAAGACATCATCATTAACACAGATCGACAGACAGACAAGGAAGTGGACTTGATTGTTTACACCGCACGTTGGCACACTGACACAATCTAGCATCGATTTGTGATGTAATTAAAAATGAATTAGACGATCATCTTCATTTCCAACTCGGAAGTTATGTAGCGGTTTTAAACGTAGTTTTTATTTATGTTGGCATTGATTGAACATGTTTTCAAATGGCAGAAGATATTTGTTGTTAGTTTTCTATTCACAATTTTAAAGACGCTATAAATCAAGTTTAAGTTGTTAAATATTTTGCCAAAGCTTTCTTTACAGGTTTAACATCTTGATTCAATACGTGTATCGATGGGCAAAGAAATCAACGCATTTAGACAAGCCGCCAAAATCTTTAAAATAGTTCGGTTTTATAATGTTGGCAATAAGTAAGTACGGGTACTCATTTTTCTTCTTCTAATCACATTTTAACAATGTTAACATTGTATAACCATTGTTATGGAATAAATTGGTAACATATTTGTGGGTTAATAGTTATTTTAAAATATTCTGCGGTAATCTGTTCCCACGCGATCGCGTTTGTATGGTTTCGTTGTTATACGAAAGCTACTGGTCAGTTGGTCAGATTCGCCGACATCGTAATGATCATATAACATATGGCTAACTGCTTTGAATTTGTTGCAAGTAACAGCTGGCGGAAATAATCGTTACATTGTCTGTTGTTTTTTTTTAAACTTTATTATATTTTAGCGTAGTTTATTCTTTAATTTATAATTAATAATCACAATGTTGTTGTGTAATTGGAAAATAAAATAAGAAAAAATGGAATTAGTATATTAAGAAATAGAAATGTATTTCAAAATGGTACTTACTGCACTAAGGAAACTGTCCAAATCTCTGATGTCATATCCGAACTTTCCGTTTTGCCGTTTTTTTCTCCTATGTCGATGTCGGTGTTTCCTCCGCACATACTCTTCAGTGCCAACACTAGTGTCCGAATAAGATTCCTGACCATTGAACTCCTCACAGGCGCTTCTAAACTTTAAATTATGATAGTTCTCGTTACGACCAACAACTCGATTTACGTGGCCCTTATACTTTGAAACAAGTCGTTCGGTTTCGTTTAATTGGTTACAATTCTTACCCAAATAACCTAATTTATTTTTTATTACATCATCTTGTTTGACTTTAACGTTTTCGAAGTTGTCTTTAAGCACCCATGTTAGAGAGATCTTGGATTTGTGCCGTTGCTGCAGCGGCGATGAGTGCCAAAGACCCATTTCTTCGATTTCAACGTAATCGTCAGAATGCAAATTTTCATCGGACTTTGAGGTTATGTTGCAGTTCGCTAATAAGTCTAGCACTTCGCACATCGGTGCGTTATCCTGTAAAAATTATGTTTAATTTTAAGCGCCATCTTTAGTAAAGTTTATTTTGAGGTTATAAATGAGTCTAGACACTGTCCGCCCACAAATATTAGGTACACAATTCCAATCTTTATGTTAAAATGTACTGATTGGTATTTTATTTATATGATAATAAATAATTTGTTTAATAGTAATGTGTTTATGGAACATGGATTGCTATAATTTATGGCATGTAATCAAAAGTCTGTGCGAGTCTGCAGACAGCTGTATCATTATGTTATTTAACAGATGATTTAATGTACCTATGGCACATTATTACAACTAATCCTGCCTTCCATTAGAGTTTGAGAGAAAATAAAATGTTAATACAGACATACAATCCAATAAATAATATTTTTCAATCATAACCTGCAAGAAATCACAAGAAGAAAAAAAATATTTCTCATTCGTCTTTTTTTATAATAATATATATAATAAAAACAACCAATACATAAATATTTCATATCTATAATGGTTACAAAGGTTAACTATTTTTATGGGAAACACGCGGTGAATAATTTCTTTGTATAAATTCTAGTTTTTTATTTATTCCTTAGGTACACATTTTTATGTTTTACTAACGATGATTTCCTATTTTATTTACATAAGTTAACATATGTACGTATTTATGTTTACGACTATGCATACATCTAATGACAGGAATGAACGTTATCGGGCACAGCTTTCCGGCGGGGCGACGTAAGAATATTTTTTTACTATGTTATATCACCAAATTAAAATGCAAACGAGTAATTAACGTAAGAAATTCACTTCCATAGACTGCACCCGGGCTTTAATTAATACATTTGACTATCACTGACAGTAAATCACTTTCTAAAGTGTTGCTACAAGATTTTTTTTTTTAAGTGACAAACGAAGAAGCGGCCACCTGAGTGTAGTGCCAGTTTGTGTTACCTACCGTAACTGGTGACTGCGATGTCTCCTGTACATCTTCGAATTGATTCGTTGCATTTTCTTGGTAAGGTGGTGGTTGATCTTTTATTTCTGTGAACAATTAAAAAAAACTTTGTTCACTAACATATCTAAAGAGTCTCGAGTTATAAATTTTAAATTGACCTTATTAGGGTAAAACTAACCTAGCTTAAATTAAGATAGTTACAGTTAAATTACACATTTTAAAATTAGTTAAGCGAAGATTGTATTTTCACAATTCTATGAATGTTTAGTTTGCTGCTGCCAGGGTATGAGATGATCCCTTGTGTGATTTTAATTCATGGTTTTTAAATTAAATAGCAAACAATTCGGTTCCAATGACTTGTTAAATTAATATTATATGTGTAATTTACTCGTTTCTATTTATAAAATATTTCCAAAACACACAATGGAAAAAACATGTTTGCATATTGGTTAATTAAAAATAAAAATGTAACTAGCAATCACTATTCACTTTGCACAAAACATCACTTAATCTACGTTTGATTATTGCGAATAAATTCTTCATATTTACGCAAAAACATTTTTAAAATAGAGCACATTATAAAAATTAATTACCGTTGTCAATTTGATGCGTTATAGAAATTTAAAAATTGTTAGCTTTTCGTATTCATAGAACTGCGGGTGCGCCAGACATGACCTAACCCACAACCGTCGTTGGCGAGTTCGCGCCAAACACTGTTGGAGTCGAAGCATCGAGTCGTTCTCGATTTCGATTCGATACCAGACGGATTAAGTGATGCATCTTATTGATTGTTCTAATATTACTTATATTCAACAGAAGACAAAGAATATTACAATATACAGACGAAAATTTACCTCTGTAGTTCTTGCTTATTATACGTTATTTAACGGATAACTTTCTGTTTGATCAACGTGTCGTCACAAACCGTAACAGAAGGGGTCTTGCAAATTAACCCCATTTCTTAATAAAAAAAAAGAACGATTTGATATAAACCTATAGATATTATACTTCGATTAGATTTTATAGAATACACGATAAAAACAACGAATCGATTGATAAGGTTATAGATGAGTAAAGAAGTAAAAAGTTGAACATTTTTGTCTCGTCGTACAGAAATCTTGGCGTGCAGAAACGATTTTTTGTCACATATGTTACGCACAATCTTAGACCTAACATAGTGATCACAAATTGCGTAACGATAAACAAATTAACCCTAACGACTCGCAACATTCTCACGGGCTTGGGCCTCGGACGCACCGCCGCGCCCGCCCCGGGACACGATCCGCGGTACACACCAACGGCAGTAGTCATACCATAAATTATGCAGACGCAGGACAAATCCTTAATATCACAAAGATATATAAAGGTCTGGTCATCAGAGTAGCAGCTAATGATGCTGACTTTGGTAATATTGCTTTTTTTATATCATAAGGTGGTAAACGAGCGAGCGGCCACCTGAAATCGCTGAAATAGCGAAGTGACTGTTGCCCATAGATATACGCAATTGCATATGCGTTGCCTACCTTTAATCAACGAAGTAGAGGATGCACAGAAAGAAAATATTTTCCCTTGCCATGCATCCTCTCATCCGGAAAGTCCACTTCCACTTCCCATCCTTTCCTTATAAGAAAAAGGGTGGGAACGGACAGAGGACTAAGTTAGGCCTCCGGGACGCACACTCATCAGACGAAACGCAGAATTGCTTTCACTTCACGCCTGTCTTCGGTGTGGTCGTGGTATTTCACCGGGCAAGCCGGGTCAATTCGTGCGAAGATATTAAAGCGGGCTCTACCACTGTTAAATACAAGTATACAATACAAAACAATTGCTAGTGCCAATAACGAGTTTATCCCTTAAAACATTTCATGTCTGCTATTGTCTGACTGATAGTATATTATCCCTTCCCTTCTTTTATTGCTTTACTCCTTTCCCTTACAAAAATAATGCTTTCAAATCAAGTACTAAGATATAAAAGTAAAATACCATATTTATAATAAAAAGTTGTGGCAACCCTATTCTGCGGTCACGAGAGTTTCATTATCCCTACGTTTGTAGCTCGCCTAATTTAGACGGACGAGTGTTTCGGAGTCATTACCATCGCGGGATCGCACGCTCCGAACTGTTACCATTCATCTCTGTATCCCTGGTCACTGCTGCACGCTCTCCTTACAGATTCATAATAATTACAATTTATTGACAACCATAAATTTAAGGAAAAATATTGGTTATGATCTCCAATAATGACCAAAACGTTTATATATTTTCCCACGAAATCACACTCATATAGTCAAAAGGTCCCAAAGTTTTTATATCACACTATATGGAATACAAAATTAATAATTTAGTAGACCGAAAAAATACACGCATTATCTAGTTTCCAATATGATATTCTATTTTTGATCTTTACATAAGCCAACCAGCAACGTTAACCGCTAAGACACGCTTTCTTAGATAAATAGTTTATAGTAACACGTTCCTGCTAGTACTTCTTATGTACAGGAATCACGAAAGCAAATTGTCAGGCGCTAAATACAATTAGGAGACTAAACACCACCTTTGTTTTTAAAAAGCTTTAGCACATTTCCCGCCTCAGAATTAGAACCCCACGTTGCAGGGCGCGTTTCAACACCTGTGTTTATTTTCCATTATGTTTTGCTCCCGTTTATTGTTTGTTTGCTGTTAGAAATAAATCCAATATTCATAGAATTCACCCCTAAATAATGATTTGAATAAATATAACCCCAGAACTTCATTAGACTGACAGTTTTTATAAAACATATTGTCATCTCTTACATTCTCTTTGACAAAACAAAGACAACAAAATGTAGTCAACAAAGTGTCATGCACTTAAAACCCAGTTATGATTGCGATTTTCTTTTCTTTTACGGCCAGTCTGTTTTTAAACTTAAAATTTTCTTATCATAGGCTGTAAAAATGAATCCAAAAAAATTAGATTGATAAAGCTGGGCACTCCGACCCCACGTTATTCGGATAAGGCCCCAGGGAGATGATATCCATCTATGATTTTTTTGCGCCCAAATATTTTCCGCATAGAACGTAAAAAAATTCATTGTGAATGAAAGCCCATAAAGATTAAGAGGTAAAAGAATGTCTTATTTATTACGCTGCGTTCCTTACCTTTTGACGCGTGAAAATAAAGGACAATATGTTAAAGAGGCACGAGCATATCGCTATGGCGGGAATGTGTCTGGCACGGGGGGAACGCGGGACACGCGGAAGAGGGGGGATCACGATCGCCCAAAACGTGCGTACGCGCACCCGACTTCAATGTTCACTGAAATGCGGACATAAAGCTAGTTTTTGTTTTTTTTAATACATTTGTTGTTCATTTATGGTATGCGTACTTTATCATTTCTTGAATTAATACTTTGTAGTGAAAATCAAACTGACTGAACGTTCCTTTTATAAAATAACGATGTAACAAACAAAGGTCCAATAACTACTATCTTTCAGATTATTTCGATAGAGCATTATTGTGCTTATAACCTTAAATTTAATTTTCGTCGAATTTAGTTTCGTCGTACTTTGGTATCTTCACAAATCCACGAATAAGTTCACGGTTTTATTTATTTATTCCTATCAGAATACTATAATTACAAGAAAAGTGTGTGAATTCGATTAGTTGCCTATAAAACACTGGGCAACAATTCAGCCTACGCGTTTGTAACGGCGATCATTATCAAAAAATTACTATAGCCGAGCCTATCGAATATTTGTAGGGAACGCCTCCAATAAATATAATAATTAACAATCATTCAAAGCTTGTGATCTTCTAAAAGATTTTCGTGACTTATTATTTTTATATAGGTACATACTAAATAGTAATTACGTTGGAATCAAAAACAGTTTAACGTAGTTTTTTTTACAGAAAAATGGAAATAAATAAAATAAAATTAATTTTCATCAAATTAAAAGTAAAGTTCATCTATTGAATTTTCAAATTTTACATATTTTCGTATTTGCTGTCTTTGGTAAATCTGACGTCAGCAATGCGCTCATTTTCCAAGAACTTATTTCCGATTGGATAATTCCCGTCATAAATCAATAGCCAATTTCTAAATTTATTATTTTATTAATGGCAACTCTCTTACTTTCACTTTCCAAAGACAAACTACTATTTTTACTGAATCAAATGCTTCGGATATCGTGTTATGTTGACCTATATTGTTTAGTAATGATACATTGTCATAAAAATACATGGAGTTTTAAAATTTTTGAAATTACACGCGATTCTAAGCACGTGTACCGTAGGCGGTTACATGTTGTGTTGATGGCTACATACATAGAAATACATTTAACGTATTTGTTTCGAAATATTTCATTAGTTCTTCGAATATTCTGAAGATACACAAATTTCGCCAATTACAATTTACTAAATAAAAGATAGAATATCGAATAATAATAAAATCTATTTAATAAACAACGTTAATTGTTGGTGATTTAATTTCAAGTAAAGTTAATAATGAAAATCAAGCAATGGCACGTAGTTGTAACACATAAAAAATACGGACGAATTGATAACCTTCTTCTTTTTGAAGTCAGCTATCAAAATAGAGTACGATCGGCAGTCGGCAAGGGCAGCCGATGTATCGACATGTGGTAGGCAGACGGTCGGTGCGCGAATTAAGGGTAAGTGTAGGTAACCGATAATTGCAGCGTGAGAAAGAACAGCTTGCGATCGATGGCATAAAAAGGTTGCCATTTTTTTAAATCGATAACTCACACGTTCGGATACATTAACTTTTAAAAATATTGTAGTTTGCTAGATTTCACCCGTGACTTCGTCCGCTGGGATACAAAATTAATTGTTTATGTATTCTTCGACACTATTTTCTACATCTATGTCAAATTTCGACAAGAACGTTAAGACGTTCTGGAGATGCCGTCGGATCGGACAAACATGTAAACATTGATGTCATTATTTTTGGAAAATAATCTTTATTTCCTAATTTAATGAAAATAAAATGTTTGTTGCTGACGCTACATCCCCTAATTACCATTAAAATACAACTCACGCAACAAAAATTGCACGAACATTTGTTTGCCAGTCCAGTTCTAATGTACTACATACTACCACCGATAATGCAATACTACGCTGCTTACATGAAATAAACAATAACACAAACATTTCATTATTAATAATATAATCTAGGTAGGCAACGCATATGCAATTACGTATGTCTATTGGCAACGGTCACTTCGCTATTTCAACGATTTCAGGTGGCCGCTCGCTCGTTTGCCACCTTTTGATATAAAAAAATATGTAGATAAAAAAAGAATTTTATTTATTCATACAGTCCATAAGTCTTTTCAATAAAACCAGTGGGTTTGTTTATTTTTGCAAAAAGAAAAAAGATTTAAGCCCA